TTGCGCCTCTACCTCTAACCTCCCACAACATACACATCCTTGCCATCCTGCCAGGAGCTTAGTTAGTTTATCAGCTGGCAACAATCGCGGAAGGGGGGAAGCGACAAAAGGTTACAGTTCCTAGGCAACTTCTTACAGGACAGTGATTCCTGGCTATAGTAATATATATATTAACAAAGGTTTTATTACATTTAAAAATTAATTAAACAGAAACCTATAAAGCATATATAATGCTAAGGAAAAATCCAAAATGATACATCACTTTCTAAACGTATATTATAAGAACTTCTCCATAAACAAACATAGATTAGCTGCCACCATTTTCGAGTACCCACTGTACCATATAAGGGCTTATTCCCCGTATCGTTAGCAGTCAGCCAGCCTGCTTTAGTCCTGCTCCTGCTCCCGCTTCATCCTTCATCCTGCGAGTCCAAGTCGCAGCATCATTTGTTATCGTTGCGTATATTGCAACTGCTAGTTCCACGTCCAAATACTTGGAGTAAATTTCTGTGATAGGGTAAAAATTGCATGTTTGGCTTACAGGGAGAGAGCGCAATAACAACTTCCGTGACAGTTTTCCACTGGCTAAAGTTTTAATTTTCCAACTTGATGAACATCAGTGTTGGTATTTACGAGGTCTTTTCCGCTTAGTTCCTGATTTAAATTAATAGTGTGGGTAGTAGGGAAAAACCCCCTTTTTTTATTGCTTTATTATTTAACAGACTTTTTGTACCCCTTTAACTGTTGCATGCCACGCCCCTTTAGTCGGTATGCATAACATGAAACTAATACTAGACACACCCGCAAACATAAACCTAGCAAAAACTTCACACAAAAAAAACAAACAGAACAAACAAACAAAAAACAGTAAAAGTTGCAACAAAAGTGGGAAAAACGGAAATAAATCTAACAAAACGGCTTTAGTAGAAGGCCTTGCCTCCCCCTAAAAATCCTCCCAGAAATTTATATCCTTCTCCATATGTGTGTGTGTGTTTCGGGGTTTTTGATTTCATGTTTTATGTTTTATTTTGTTTTTTCTTTGGCTTATTGTCACAAGCATGTATGTACATATGTTTGTATATTGTACATACATACATATATAAGTCATGCCTCGTAAGGCTAATGTTTTCACAGTGGAAAAGATTTGTTACAGATTTCAGTTTCGTAGAAATAAAGAAAAATAAACCTCCCTAAAACACACACTCAGTGCAATGCCCTTACTTTAACTCACACTCAAGTGAGGTAGGTTTTTGTAGAAAATTTTTGGATTTTTCCCCGAATTAAGCACTTGAAATGCCCATTAGTAGGGATCACAAAATGTTTAAATATTTTTAAATCATAAATAAATCCTATATTCCTAAAACAATGTACCCGTTAGGGTAAAAATAAACTCCCAACAAATAAAGTTTGAGGGGGATTTTTTTAGACATGTTTTAGGGGAATGGCACCCAAAGCTAATATTTTTTCGAGGCGGAATTTATGTGTAACGATTATTTCAGTTGAACGAATACAGACCGCACAGCGAAATCATTATTTACACATGTCCTGAAATTGGTTTTACTTTATTTTTTTGTGTTTTACTCCACCACTCGAAATATGTGAGAGTTCATTCATATCGTAATTGTGCCATTTTTCGTAGAATCTTCTCAATGGAAACATAAACTATGAAGAGGTTATTAAAGGCTTTTCCGTGAAATTTCAGAGTTTAATTCAGAATTTACGATATTTACGATATTTCGTTGAATCTTCTTAATGGAAAAATAAACTACGAAGAGTTTATTAAAAGCTTTTCCATGAAATTTCGAAATTTAATTCAGAGTTTTTAGTGTGAAGCAGATATTTACGATTTTTCGTAGAATCTTCTCAATGGAAACATCAACTATGAAGAGTTTATTAAAGGCTTTTCCATGAAATTTCAGAGTTTAATTCAGAGTTTATAATGTAAAAAAGATCTTTACGATAAGCATATGTTTGATGACAAACCCTTTCTTTCGTTCGTTTCTCTAACAAAATTTCTGGCAAACGTAGTCATTTTTGAATTCAGTTAGGAACATGCAATTACACGAAAGGATACCGGTATGAGCACACATCCTGCTCATGCTCCTTATCTGCATCTCTGGCTGCTGGAAGAGGAGCAGCAGCAGCATCTGCAACATGTGCAACTCGCATTTATTCCTGGTCTCCCCCAGAAGCATGTTTTTGTACCATTTCGGCCTTCTCGTTAAGTCATTTAAATTAGATTGCATTTTTGGGCCAACGTGCTCGGCATATTCGATTATTTGAGCACTGTAGAAGGGATTTGCCAGCAGTTAACATTTAAAAATGTCAAAAATGAAGCTTGCAATTCATTAAAATTGAAATACAAGTTAATGTGATATATATTCTGCAACTTTTAGTTACATTTTGTAATAAAAAACAGTCCCCACAATCTCTGGCAGACCAGATCTCGGGAAAAAAAGGAGGAAAAAATAAAAGTGTAAAGGCAGGACAATACGCCACAACTCTAGACACAAAGGACATGCAGTCATGATTTTTATGAGCTTGTATTTATGTGATTTCCTTATATCCCTGCGGTGGAGGCCCTGTGATGGCCATGGGTCCTGCCGCCAGGACACAACACACAGGCACACAACAATAGCGGCAAGTGGAATATATGAAATGAAATTGCTTCCCATATTGCTCACTCTTCTCCACAGATTGAGGTACGTACATATGCTCTGGTACATTTATGGTTATTAAATTGCAAAAAGGGCGTATTTCTCTGCTGGAATAATATCTAACTATTCGATTTTGCAGTTCCCTTAAGAGTCAAGAAAGTATCCAGCACTTAAATGTGAAATAACTGACAGCTTAATCCATCGATTCGCCTCATTAATTTAATAGTAGTAACAATGGCCTCCTGCATTTATGTAATTACCCGCATTCTCAATCATTTTCTTTAAATACAAGCCAGTGGCTATCAGAACAAAGCCTTCTTAAGTGGCTTCCACGAATTATTTAATGCCACTTAAAAAGACGAAACCCCTTTATATTTCCTTTGCTTTATGACCAATTTTAAATGGCACAACAATGGTCCATCCGTCCTTCCGAGTATCCTTTGTGTTGTTACAAAATAATCGTAACTTTTATTAATTGACACGACAACTGCTTGTGCCAGATTTTTGAATTTTAAATAATTCCCTTTGATGGCACACCAACTTCCACGATGGCAGTTTAATTGTGCGGCCAGACTGCGGGGCAATAAAATAATTTTACGATCCTTTTCCTGGCCAGCAGCTCCGTCTCCCTCCTCATCCTCGTTTTATTTTTCGAGACGAGAAACAAGTGCAAAGTTTGAGTTGATTTTCCAGCAAGGAAAATCCCTTTAGAAGTGGCCTGCATTTTCTCTCCTTGCTGTCCTTATGGCCTGCATTTTGTGGCTGACTTTCATTCCAGCAAAAGGTGAGGAATTAAGGAGGTTGGGAGGTTTCCTTATGATGGGAGCCTCTCTTCGACTTTGCCCAACACACATCATGAAGTCACTGGCAAGTAATGTCAATACATATGGTTACATGGGACACAGAACACACCTGCCAGGTGGTGCACAAATACAAGCAGAAGGACAACTACCATGAAAATAGTCTCCTTTTAAGGTTTACTGAACCGATTGAATAGGAAAAGGGATCTAAACGTTAGGAATTTATTTTAAACCATTTAAGAAGAAACACATTTAAAAATATATGAAACGGAAAGTAATTTTGTCTGACATTTGATTCGGTCTTTTATTGCTCTACGTATGTGGTCAATGTGGTCCTCGAACAAAGGATGACTCAAAACAAAAGATAGCTTGAATTTATTGTTCACGAAAATCATTTTTTTATTTATCAATATTTATTTAATAACGTATTGAATTTTTACTACTTAACTCCTATTCCTTCTATTAAATTTAGATCGATAAAAAATTTGCTTAAATGGCCCTTAAGTCTCATCACTCATACGCAGTGTGGCCTTTACGAAGTATTATTTAGATAATTTTTTTTGGATAGCTTAAGCTTATTTAAAACTTATAGAATTTATTGTGAGTATAGTCAAAATATGAAATATTTCCTTAACATTTTTCTTACATCAAAAACTCTATAAATTTAAAAATAAAGCAGCAAAGAAAAGCTAGCTCCCATGCTATAAATCTCACTTTTCCCTTCGTTTTATACACTTAACTCTGCAGCTAATATTACTGGTTAAATTTGTATACATTTTTTCAACACTTAATTGTTGTATCAGGATTCACTTTCTGCCCCATCCTCGTAAATTTCTGAGCATTATTGTCGTGTTTTGCTTGTACAGAATGGGAGCAGCAACACGACCAAGTAATGCTAGGCATAATCATAAAAATCCCCGGAGCGTTGACTGGCGACGCCTTAAAGCAGCAACCACAAACAGAGTGCCAGGACTCAGGACTCGGCAGGCCCCGCATCCTGGAGAGCAGGATGTGCTCCGGCTTGGTGTCTGCAGATTAATATGAAGGCCACGCGACGCCTAGCATCGTGTCTCTCCATGTCCCTCCAGCTGCCGCTCACTCTTGGTCATGATTTAATTAAAGTCTACATGTGCTAAGTAGATTTTATTCTTTGCTTGCTTATTTGGTTTATTTTGCCTATTTTCTGGCATCTCTTCTACGCTTTCCGCCTGCTGGCCATAATTGATTTAGGCATTTACTGCATTAAGCCGAACTGTTGAGTCCTTCCTCATATACCTGGTATTATTTCAAGAGTGGAAAAAGAGAACTTTGCTTTGATATCAGGCAGTCTTATTTTCTACTAAGAATGCAAGGATTTAAATTATTTTCTAAAATTTAAAATATACAAGACTTAATCCCAATAAATAGAGTTGGAAAATGCATTTCCATAATGCAATTAAGGACCAAGCCCTCACAATAATAATTATATAATATTTTGTATAATCAAACTACATATGTAGGACTTAATTATATTTCATTAATTAAAGGTATATTGCCAACTTACATAACGACTTAATTCCGAGTGGCTGCTGCTGCTCCTGCATTGCACAAGTTCTCGAAATGCTTATAATTACCACGATAATTGGCGTAAGGATGCAGGCCAAGCATTTGCCTGGCGTGGCCATGGTCCTTCAGTTATCGTTATTGTTTATTGACTTGGAGTTATTTACCTCAAGCAGGTAACTATAGAGCTCTATGTCGGATATTTTTGGCTCACATCACTTGAAATGATTTGACAAAAGGCAACAGCAGGAGGCTTCAGAGTCCATTCTGAAACGAGAGGATATTATTTAGGGCAATTAGTGAATATATTTCAAATTAATTAAAAGATAATTGATGGCCTTTTCAAATTATTTTGTTAGTTTTGATTATAAATAGTAATTACTTTTGTGGTTGTAAGTGAGCAAGTGCTCTGCAATTATTTTCTGTGATTAATTTCCGCAAAACCATCAGAAATATATTTTAATCACTGAGTTATGTGTTGTGTTATATTACCATGATGGGAGAGGTAATTAATTAAAATTTTAAAAAATAAAAAGGTTTTCTTATTTAAGGTATTCCTTAATAAATAAACAAAAACAATAACATATAATAATTGAAATGCAGAACCCGGAAACTTTAAAAAATCTTTGAAAAATATTTACGAAATATATTACCAATTAAAAAACTCTTTTTTAATTATTTCTATGACAAATATATATTCAACACAAATAAGTGAAACGTTATCTCATATTTGGCCTGCATCAAAATCAATACTGAACATAATTTAATTTCAACAAACAGCGCTATTAACCAAAGGACCTTGGTCCGTAACAAATGGCTCCACCATTCGCATCATTTATCCCGTATCAAATAGGCTGTCGCATTAATTTTTTGTTTCTCTGTTGTTTATGTTTGTTAAGCCCCTATATTTATATATATATATAATATATATATTACGTGTTTTCGATGGCGAGTTGCTTATCGCGGCCATGTCATACGGCTGTCTATAGTCTTGTCCTTGGAAGCTTTATCCGAATGCTAACAACTGCATTAATATTTACCACCCGCACGGAGCTTGTTTAAATAGTTTTTTATTATTGCACCAAAAAGGTGAGTGAGTGTGTATGGTGCAGCCTTGATCACTCGCAAAAATGCAAAAGGCCAAAATCCAATTAAAATGTTAATTTTCACAGCGGCAAAAGTGAAATTTTGACCCAGGAAAATCGCTGTCAAAGAGAAGACTTTGTTGCTGTGATCTCTCAGGTAATCACAGCTTTTAAATGGTGCTTTTTTTTAAATGTTGTAATGAGCTGAATCACAGCCTTTCCAATAAAATTAACATGCAAATGGTTGCTATTGTTGTTACCAATTTCATTGATTGCTAATTGCATTTTGTGGTTTTTACCCTTTCAAGTGGCAGGCGCTAATTTTGATACATCTTAGACGCTTACTCTACCATTTGCCTGTAATTAACTTTAGTCCTTCATGTAACGAGCCCAAACCACTTTCGTCTCGTATCGTCTGGCTTTTGTCTCCTTTTGTCTACTTTCAGGCATAAATACAAGTTAATTAAACAAACCGGCCAGGCTGGGGCCTGCCCTGCACATTAATCACCTGGACACTGGCCAAAAAGCCACACAAAAACCACCTGGAGACCACTTGATCTCTCTTAAAGGAACAGAATTCCCAGAAAAACCAGAAAGGAAAAACCCATCGAAGCGAATTCAATTAGAATGAACACGAAGGAGCAAGCATTTCGATTTCAATGTCCTTTTTTGAGATTGTCTAACTCACAGGACATATGTCCTGCGCCTAGAAGATTAATGAGCGACACGCTCATCTACTTCCATTCTTTCAAGCGGCACTTAATTAATCGCCAGGAAGGAGGAAGTCACGAAGGAGCAGACGAGGTCCTTGCCCGGCGTCTATTATAGCCTTTAAAGCTGTCCCCGGAAAATATTCTCATTCTTATTTAAAGTTAGGAAAGAATAATAAGCAACTCGAAGGATCCAAAGAATAATTAAGAATCTTAAGTAGAAGCCTTTGAAAGCTTTGGCACTCTCAACTCTTTAACATTTTTTGCGTGCGGCTAAAGTTTTTAAGTTTTTAACTACTTCCGAACCAAGTTTCGATATTGAACAAGAATCTATAGCTGTAAATGCATTTAAAATCTCACATATAAGTTTCAAAAACATTACAAAAAACTGATGGAAGAGGAAATATTAGTTTAAATACCTTTATATTTAAATATTTATTATGAAAACAGAATATATATAGGTTTATGAAAACATGTACCTTTATAAATAAATTAAATTAAGTAAACGACTTCAAAATAGCCCAAAAAGATGAGGCAAAGTCCCAAGTGCTCATAAACGAATATGTTGAGAGTTGCAAAAAATAAACCAAAATAAATTCGCCAACCAACAGGTCTTCCTCAACTTTTATTCCTTTGAGAGAGAGAGGAAAATCCGCAATGGGACTGGGCATCATCATCGTCAGCATTAAATTGGTCAATCAATTGGATGTACTATACATATCAGTAAAAGTTGAGGAAAGTTTAAAACTACACTTATTATTGGCGGCTTGTGGAAACTTTATTTTCCGACCAATTTCTGCGAAAGTTTTTAAGGCCCCCTCCCTGGAATTAATTACACGCCCTCACTTTTCGTATTGGCCACAAGGACGAACTCATGAGAAGAAAATCAGGGCTCATTTCAAAGTCAATCCATAACACACGTGCTCATTAGGTCGTGGAAAAACTTGAAGCAACTTCAAAAGCAGATAAGGTGTAGTGCGAGAGTGAAAGAACTTTTAAGATAAACTTCCACCTGAACAGGGAAAAACTTTGATTTGAGTCCGAGACAAAAAAGAACAAACAAAAATAATACAAATTTTGTGCAGAAAACTCTCCCCCCATTTGCCTCTGTTTATGCAACTGACACAGAAATTTGAGCAGAAAATATGTGTGATTTGTTTTCCTCTCGAAGTGAAAAAGTTTCCTTAGAGAAACTCGAGTAACAAATGCATTTTCGATTAGTCCTAAATCACGTCGCTCGGCTGTCTGGAATCATTTCCGACGGGAAGTCCATGCTGGACCTCTGATTTATCTGCGGTTTCCTGAGAATAACTGAAAAGGAATTTAAGATTTTAACTATAACTCACTTGTTCTTCGAAAATCCAATGATATGACTTTAGAGCCTTGGCTTTGCAAGAATATCCTTTCGCTGGCCGCCTAAAGCGGCCTCCTGTTGAAAAAACCCTCACTATCTTTTCCTTCTTAGCACTTTTTGCACTGAGATAAATTCAAGACACCGTTTTCTTTCCGTTTTCAGTGTCAGCTTTGAGACGACAAAAAGCCGCAACGCGTTGCGTGGATCTTGAGACGACGCTGCTTTCCGCGATAAACCGCAACGCCAACCGTAACGAAAGCGGCAACTACGATATCATTCCGATGCGAGCGATAAGGAGTTGTCGAAACCACAGCCGCGCCAAAGGATAAACACGTGCGCCTCGACTTGAAATCCATTCGATACTGCGGCAACCGAGAGCCGGAGCTTTTCCGTATTGTTGTTTCCTTTTCGGGACGAAGTCAGCGTTCCGTCGAATTTACGAGTCCTAGCACGAGTCCTGCCAGCCACGACGAAGAGCGGTCGAGTCCTGCTTTGCGGCGAATTGGGGTGAATCCCGGTATTTTAAGGGGGGTTTTCCGAATGGAGAAACTTGAGAACTTCCTTTTAAAGAATTTAACTAATTACATTTAGTATATTTTATTTTATTAGGCATATTGAATAAACTATGAATAATTTTCGTTCAATATTAAATACAAAAAGCTATCTACAAATTTTAGATAATTTTAACCAAAGATGTAACCGAATAGATTATGAAAATACACTTTTTGTAAATATTTTGATCTGTTTATAAATAAGGTAGGAAGACAATCAATGTTTTGTAATTTTAAATTATTTAAGTCTTTCAAATTCAAATTCAAATTGGAAAGCAGTTCTATCTACTTCAAGGGACATTTTAACAGCTTTATGTGTTTCCTTCTATATTATATCCCTGCTTTATGTGTTTCCCTCTATATCATATCCCATTAAAAAACATAGAAAGCAGTTGAAAAATTAAAATATTTCCCACTATTTAATGTCCTTTTAAGAATACAAAGAAAGCAGTTGAAAAAGGGATATTTAGAACTTGACGAGGAAATATGTTCTGCTTTGTTACTAACTGCTTTAAAAGACACAAATAAGAATTTTAAACTGCTTTACAACTCAATTTTAAGTAAAATTAAATAATTCCTATTTTAATGCTTAAAAATAAGATATAATTTGAAAAATGCAGAAATTGGACGATATGATGGGTATATCTCAAATTCGATCAAATTCTGTTCAAAACTGAACAACGTATTCATTTCTTCATTTATCTTTTAATTTTATTTCGCAGCATCGAAATAAGTCAAACCATTATTTGTTAACTTATTATTTATTAACTCGAACCCATTTCAGACATTAAAAATTCCTTAGACTAAAATAAAACTCTCAATTATTCACTTTACTTCACGTTCTTTCAACTTTATATTTATTAATGCAAAATCGTGTATTCCTTTAAATATACAAATGAGATTTTAAAATCGAAAGGGTTTGGCGCGCATTATAAACAAAGATCCGACTATAACGCGCTATTTTTAAGCAAATAAACTAAGGAGTCTTGAGAAATGCACACACTTGGACACATTGGGAAAAAAGAAATATAGAGTAAAAGTAAATATCGTAAATATAGTTGTATAAAAAAACTTGTTGAATCTATTGTTTGCCTTCAAAATGCAATTGGAATTGTTAAGTTCTCAGTTAACACAATTTCAAGTAAACGCTTCGCGCATTGCCACACATAAACGCTCTTAAATAATTACAATTACGAACTCCTTTTGTTTACAACGGCTTGGGGAAAACAGAAATTTTAAAATATATTTTTCTCGTCCCGGAGAAAAGATATTTAAACACGCGTGTTTTGTACAACAGAAATTTTGTTTTCGGGTTTTCTTTCTTTTCTTTTTAACTAACATAATTCGATATAGAGGTTTGAATTTACTAGGTTTCTTCTGTTAGTGTACACTATTCTTCCGGCATCCACAAAGATTTGCTCGTATTGCTTTTTGTTTAATTAGAGACCTGATCTGCTGTTGTTTGTTATGAATGTGTTAGTGGCTTCTTGAGTTTCCTTCTTTACTTTTTAACTAATTGCGAAAAATTAGGGGCTTTTTCTTCACTATTTACTATGACGCGATTGTTGTTCTTGCAGCAGCTGCGGATGATGGTCGCTGCCTACAGAGAGAGAGGGTTAAGCGTGCCGGACGCTTAGAATCATTTGAGCTTGGCGTATGCGTCGACCTTTTTGTGAAACTGGTTGTAGTACTCCAGGGCGGCGTTACGCGTCTGGTTCAGTGCCTGGTTGATGTTCTCGGGCGAGAAGCGACCACTGAAAAAGGAATAAACAAGGGTAAGTGATGCTGCTTGCGCTGGGCAGTCAGGGGCCAACTTACACAAGCACCTTCTCCTTAATAAGCACGGCAGACTTATCGTAGCTGCTGACAGCAAAGTCGCAAACGCCCGCGGCAAAGGCCTCAATCTTACCCGAAAAATTGGGCACGTATTGGTCAATCTGCAAAGTAGAAAACAAGCAACTTATTAGATATACGGAGATTCAAAATAATACAGAGATTGATCCAAAAAACTGGTTTGTTTGCAATGACCTCATCATCATCATCATCTTCCATCGACACTTACGAACTTAGCCACCACTGGCCACTTGGCACTGAAGTATCCCTTGCCATTCTGGTAGATATTGCAGACAGCATTTCTCGCCAACTTCCACAGATCGCCAGTGGTCTTGATCGCTGGCTCGGCATACGGTGGCACATTCACCTCCGCCCACTTGTAGCCACGGGCACCAGCGCCCATGACCGTGTACCAGGTCTTCTGGACATGCGGCAGGACACCGGCATTCTTCAGCACCTTGCCGGTGGCCGATTTCTCGAACACACCCTTGCCGTTGGTCTCCGTGTCGTAGTACAGAGCTCCTGCGATCAGGGCAATGACAAGGATGCTGCCCAGCGTCCACTTGCAGCATCCGCATTTCTTTTTCTGTGCCGCGGCATTCTGTTTGTTCTTCTTCTGCTGCGCACTGCTCTTCTCCTGAACGGCCTGTTTTGGGTGGAACAAGAAATGTTGAGAGTTTAGTTAAATGCGTAATTGGAACATTGAATTGCCCAAGATAACATGAGACAATCCGTTTGTGTTTACCTTCTTGGCAGTGGGCGCCGGCTTGCCGCCCTGTTTGTTAGTTTTCGGTTTAACCTGAGCCATTTTCTATTTTAATTTCACTTAATTTCGATATAGCAACGAGTATTACTAGATTTCCTCAGCTGTTTGTTGAGAAATGTTTAATTAGTTATTGAGTTTTATCACTGCACTTCGATTTGCTAAAAAGAATGACGAGGGCTTTGGCTTTTGGCGAGCTTTCAAACCAAGCTTTTTGTTGCGGTTAATGGGAGAGATGATTGCGGGCGAAAACAACGAATGCTTTTTGAGGGGATAAGAGCGCGATGACCTAAGATGGGAGGAGAGAGCACACATTGCGACGGGGAATAATTAAGAAATACATTTACAGTCGAGCTCCTATAGCTTGAAAGATTTCTGGCTAATTTGTAGACTAATTGGGTTTTATATAAATATATTTCATAGATATTTTTAGGAACCTTAAACCGTCGATGTATCAACTTGGGTTACCTTATTTTAAAATCATTATTTTAAGGGTTTAGTTATTTATTTTTTGGCATTTGACTTTACAAAACAACAGTTCTCATTGTCACAGATATCATAGTTATTGTTTATCGTTTTTATCTTTGTAGTTGATCGACTGATTTAAGTTTAAATTATCGTTTGTATTCCTCGTATGTATTAATCTTCTAAATTCACCTTTTCAAGGTATATTTTTATGCGATTTTTTATCTTTATAACTAGACATTTATAGGCAACACGCTTTGAATCGGATTAAATATGAAATTGATTTTTTATAGCAGCACTTTGGGTACTATGAATGTACTGTAACGTTTATTAAAATTGTTTCAGTAATTTGAAGAGTTTATCGCAAATAAAAATACGAATTTTTAAGGTTTTATCATCATTCTACTTGATACAAACATCTGATAGTTTTTAGATACATCTTTAATACTACATACTTCTTTAATTAAAATACTTCGACTGTTTTGAAAATATCCGCTAGACAACTGAAAAGTTGAACGAACTATGTTTGATGGCTTAGAACTGTTTTGGCCTCTGGATTTTGATTTTCTTTTGTGTTTCAGGTGAATAAAAGAAAGGTAATCAAAAGAAAAAGCCGCTTGCGAAGGCCAGCGAACGAAAGAGCAGAGAAAATCAGGGTCACAGTGGACATGCCACGTGTTGAAGCTGCCAACGAATTCGGCGTGCGTTCTTTCGCTCAGCGTTCTTTCTTCGAGGCGCAATCGTGGCGCTGCGAGGAGAGTGCCAGCAAATGTGCGAAACTGCACCACCGTGCGTGCAATAAGAGTAAGAGTAGGGAGAGTGCGGTGCGCACAATCGGCAGAAGGGCAGACAGTAAGAGGGAGAGAAAGGTGAGGCGTGAGCGAGCGCGAACTTTAGGGGAGCGGGAGGCGGGCGGAAGGACGGCCAATCGCAGCTGGAACACATCAGTAAATAAGAAGTGACGCGCCGCCAGATCATCGAATTTGGGCGTGCTTATCAGCGACGGTGGTAGCGGCGGCGGGGAGTCGTATGTTAACTGATAAATGCTATATTTATGATGCCCGATGCTTAATCTCTCTTTTCGAAAGCAACACGTCCGCTCGGAGAAAAGAAATTTTTAGCGGCAAAGGCTGGACCCGCATGGCAACGCTTTGGGAAAAATGCAGCTAGTTGCCACCAATACACAGGCGTCCCGCGCACATACACACGCACGAACGGACAACCGTTAAAGATGACACGCACACCTACACGGCTTAAACGCACTTTGCACTTTGCAACAACACGATAATTAAGGTGCGGACCATTAATTTATGCGCACTTGCACAATAGGGAAAAAGGCCAGCAGAGTCTAATGGCGAAGGGAGAAATTTCGTCGGCGAACGCCGGCAAGCAGTTCTCTCTCTGTCTGGCAGCGACGTCGCGTTGGCAGCAGCGTCCCCTCGAAAGTTACGATTCGTCAAAAGCTTAATTTCCTGCTGTTTTCACCTGACGGAGGTTTCAATTAGCTAGCTGCACCTCTGTTAGCCCACTTCATTCTTTTTAACACTGATTTGCATTACATTTATCACTTGGAAATGTAAATTTTACAAATTTGTACCTTCGTTTTCCTTTTCACGGAAGCAGTGTGACCAGACTGACTAATTAGAAAAATGGTGGTCGGAAGGTAAAAGATGCAGTCGGCAATGTGGCCAGATTTGGGCTAAAAGCGCGGAAAAGCATTCCCGTTTTCAATTTCGTAAACAAAAATATCATGAAACGCAGTTTCATTAACAAAATGGCTCAGGTGTTTACCTAACAATAAAATGTAATGCCTATTTGAAATATACTCACCAACAAAACTTCTTTTAAACTATCTAAGTTACTGTCTTTTCGTTTACTGGCCTCCAGCTCTCCGTTGAGAGCGTCAATTTCCTGCAAAAAAGTGTGATATGCTGGCGATTCAGCCAACTCCTTGGTAGAAGTAGCCCAGTTGTCGTCTGGAAAAGCGTTAAAAGTTAAGTTTGGAACAGTTTTGCCTAAAAATTCACCAACATACATACCTATAGCTTTCAGTAGCAATAAACTGGGCAATGTTTGCTTTTTATAGTTCATGCGCCACACTTTTAAGCAATCATCACTTCCGCTGCTCAGTAGACAGCTAATACAGCCTTCGATCTCATTGTTTTGCTTGGAACTAGCGCTGATATCCCGAAATAAGGTCAAGAAGATGTTGGCATGCTTCACCGGACTCTTGATATAGTTTCCCTGAAAAAATACAACTTTCTTGAGACGCGGCCAGTCTTTAATCTTATCTCATGACTTACCAACAGCAGCCTTGCACTTCTCTTCAGACTTTGCTGTAGATCCTTGGGCAGATTCACGTACTGTGCGTTGAGAGCATTGTACGTGGCAAAGAACTCCTGCTGGTTGAGAAGCAGCGGATCTGCAGACTTTCTCGAAGCTTCCGCATTGAGCACCCGCTCCATGTACTCCACAACGAACTTGGTGTACTGCTTCAGCTCCAGGTTGGGCAGCATTAGATTCTGCCAGACCCGGACACCCTCGTTCAACGACTTAAAGCCGCCCTGTCCGATGGCCCACAGGATGCTCAGGCAGATATTGCTCCGGTTTTGGTAGGAGTTCCTCAGCAGTGCCGTCTTAGCCAGATTCCTGGAGCAGATGGTCGGCCAGTTCTGTCCAATCAGTTGCAGGATCAGCTTATACCCGGCCACCGTCTGGTTGTTATTCAGGTCCGTGGCCATGCTATCCAGCAGGGAGTAGAAGAAGTACTCCAAGTTCTGCTCGCCCACGCTGCCCAGGAACTGGATAACCACATTTTTGAGGTCGCCGCTGGCCAGATTGCTGGGATACTGAGCCGAGCGGCCAGAGAAGATGGGATCGCAGTCGTAAGACAAGGCGCCATTAAAGTACAAAGCAATCTACAAATAGAATTCAGCTTAAAAATCGGGATTAATGTGGATAACCTGCCAAAGAACTTACATGACTTAGCCAGCGCAGCTCGGAGCCGGGACAACTAAGCTTCACCTGCTCCACTTGGGCAGCAAAGTCATCCGGCGTTATTTGCTTCAGTGCCTGTTCCAGAGTTTTTGGCTTTGCAGCCGACGTCGACGTGGCCTTTTTCGCAGCTGTAGCTGAAGCATTTTTCGCGGTATTCTTCTTTGCCGGCGACTTATTATTTTTCGATGAGGATGAGGCACTTGAGTTGGATTTAGCTGGCGAATGAGACTTATTGTTGTTGTTACTGCTGCTGCTGGTGGCAAACGAGTTGCGATACCGGTGAGTAGTGGGCACTGGGGAAAGTGGAGGCAGGTTGGATTAGTTATAATCCGCTCAGCAGTTGCATGCAGCGCACAAACACAATCAACTCTTACATAGCTCCTCCAATTTCGGCAGTTGGGCTGCAATCCGCTTCTGTTCCGTGTGGGCAATAACCTTCTTGTCCAGATTCTTCTGTTTCCGCGACTTGGTGACCACCTCCCATTGTTCCGACATATTTAGAGCAGGCTGGGTTGCTGGTTTGAGCTAAATTAAACTAAATTAAATTAGCGTGAATGCAGGCGCCGGCAGAATGAAAAAAGCAACAAGCGTATTTATCGGTGTGTAAGAGTGGCCAAGCTTTTTGAAAAATATAGATTCACAACAAAATCCACAATCCAGGGCTGCGAATAAGCTGTACTGCTTGACAGGCTTTACTTTTATTTTCGATGTTTACATATTTCAATATTTTAAGTAAGAAAACTAGACCAACAAAATTACCTTCAATCCCGTTTTTCTTTCCGAAAATGTAGAATAACGTTGCAAAATATCTAAGTTGTATTTCCCGCCGGAATGAAGCCACCGAAAGCGTTTTGGTTTTATCAATAGAAATAAGTTTGGTCACACTGACGCTAACCAAAACAAAAATTTGTAAATTTTATAAATATTTATAAAATACAAGAATATGGCTGCCTCACGTTCTCGCCGCAACAATGCCGGCAACAAAATAGCCTCTTTATTGGACGAAGAGGAAGACGACTTCTATAAAACATCCTACGGAGGATTTCAGGACGAGGAAGAGGACAAGGAATACGAGTGAGTGTTTTCACAATGTAAGCATTTTAATTGTTATAACCATGTAAAAAACTTGCCCCAGACAAAAGGATGAGGAGGAAGATGTGGTGGACTCGGACTTCAGTATCGACGAGCAGGATGAGCCGATTTCCGATCAGGAGGAGGCGGCAGACAAGAAAAGAAAACGCGGCGGCGTAAATACCAAGGCCTACAAGGTGCGACGCCTAGATGGATGTTCCAAGAATTTAATTAATTACCACTGTTTCCGCAGGAAACTAAACCGACGGCCAAGAAGGAGACCAAAGCCGTACCAGCTTTGCACAAAAAACGCGGAGGTGGCGGCGTTTCCAAGCGGCGGGTGCGTCCTCGGTTCACGGTCATCGATTCCGGCCGGAAATCTATTCGCACCTCGACGGCCATTAAGACACAGGCCACGAAAATCCGCCTCAAGGAGCTGGACGATGCGCGTAAGCGAAAGAAGAAGAAGGTTCGCGTAGAGGACTATATGCCCACACAGGAGGAGTTACTGGAGGAGGCCAAAATAACAGAAGAGGAGAATATCAAATCTCTGGGTAGGTATCCAAATCCAAGCCAAGCCACCTGATAGCCATTAACTACATCCACCTGCAGAGAAATTCCAAAAAATGGAGCTGGAAAAGAAGAAAACGCGTCCGACCAAGCGCACCTTCACAGGACCAACAATACGCTATCATTCGCTGACCATGCCTGCCATGCGAAAGCCTACGCGCGGTAGCCTTCAGCCCAGCGATGCAAAAGATCTTGCCGGCAAGTGCGAGCGCACCTTCGTGACGGTGGAGAACGATTTCAATGACAAGGTGTTCCAGAATATCTTCCGTCCCAAGCCGCCGCCAAAACCTAGCAATGGGATCTGTCCGATTACCCGCCTGCCGGCCCGCTACTTTGATCCTGTCACCCAGCAGCCGTACTACAGTATCCAGGCCTTCAAGATATTGCGCGAAGCCTACTACATGCAGCTAGAGCAGCAGGGTACCGACAGTGGAAACAGCAGTGACCAGCCTGAGCTGGTCAAGTGGCTGGAATGGCGCAAGCTCGTCAAGGAGAATCGCGTCAAGGTGGCAGCAGCAACTGTCAGCAAAAATGGAGATAACTGACAACTGGTAACTCTTTCTATTAGTGATTACAATTAAATATATAGAATAAACCAATTTTACAATAGTTCAAATTATTATCAGGGAAGACTTATATATATATAATTGTTTAAATTAAAAAATTTCGTCTTAATCAACTCAATGTCAAGGATTACAGACTCCCAGATAAACTTAACGGGGCGAAGTAAATCTGGAATTTCCCAAGTCTAATCTATGACAATATTATTTATAATCTAGCCGCAGACTGTTTTCATTTTGGGACTGCGTGAGCATAAGTATATTAAATAAATATTGTAGAAAACTGATAGGAGTACTCAGGTATAAGCAGCATCCGGATTATTGACTTTGCCAGAAGATAATAATGGTTTTTACCTTGTGAAAGTTTAGATTTTTGTCTGTTAAACATATTCAACTTTATCTTAAAAGTTTCTTTAAAAAGTATTTGAAATTCGTAAACTATAATCATTGAATTTATATATATTTTTCGTTTCCGGTAAATGTTCTTGATGATAAGCTTCATGACCCCTAATCAAGTAATTCCAAAGCATCGGAAATGCGGTTGTTTTGACTTGAAATATATATTCAACTATTTAGTTGGTTAATTGCATAATCTATCCACTTAGAAAAATTTTTTAAAGTAATTAAAAAATTTAATTTACCCAAAAACATCATATTTTTCCGAAGACCGACATTAAACTTGCTTTTAATTTAGAAAATTCAGTAAATCTTTAAAGTATTAAGAACTTACAGGGAATCAAAGTAGTAAACCTGACCTGACCAATCCCTGCTTTCTTTATTTATTGTCTTATCAACAAAAACACCCCACGCGCTTACTATTTAATTTGTCTTGATGGACGTTAAGGTACATATTTTCATTCTCAACAATTTAGTCGGGCCCGTGAGCTCAAATTAAACGAACGTTTTGCGTCACAATGAAGCACTTGGCTGCGTTGAGTATCCTTTTGGTACTGGGAACCGTTCTGGCAGACAGTGACAGCGATAGCGACAGTAGCAACAGTGGAGAACATAAAAATAACAAGCACACTTTCACGGAGCACAAGTACAATTATCCAGCCTATCCCACACCCTATGGCTTTGGCTATCCATATGCATACAATGCATACCCTTATAATCAGCTGATGCCACAGTATCCAAACCAGCCACCGCCGTATGCCTATCCTCCGTATCCTTACAATCCGTACATGCAGGCGCCGCCGCCGCCTCCCCAGCAGATGCCACCGATGTATCCATCTCCATATCCACCGCAGCAGCAGCAGCAAGTCGCTGGACAGAATCCCAGCTGGAACCCCAACTCATCTCCAAATCAGCAGCTGCCACAACAACCTACGCCCGGACCTGGTCTCCCCACTCCTTACCCTCAACAAGGAGGCTCCAGTGTGATCAATCACTCCCTTAAAGTCAACAAGGAATACAACGAGGATGGACACCACTCATCGCCCTAAACAACTAACTCTTTTTGATGTCTTAAAAAAATACAAGTAATTTTATTTACTTTTGGAAGTACGTTTAGAAATCTCTTGTTTTGTGTTTAAAATCCCTCTGAATTAGGATTTATTTTTAAATCACAAACAGTTTACTTTCTTGTTTCCCCCGAAAGCAATAAATTTTTGTGCTTTCAGGATTTTTAGGGAAAGCATATCACAAGTACTTATTCTTTGGAGGCACTTTGTTGCGACTGCAACTGCCGCGGTTGCTCCACCACCGTACCGTGATGGTACAAGTGGACATGGTAGGCATAGCTGTTCATGCACTTTTGGATACTCAGGACAAAGGGCTCGAACGGATGCCAAATGAAGGCACATAGCTCACGCGGCGCCAGCGCTCCGATTTCCCTGCGCGCTTTGGCGAAGATCCGGAATTTCACAGTCTTTGTTGCTTGATCTTTGAAGACGATGGGCTCCGAAGAGCAGGGATTAGGTCGTTCCAGAGGCGACATGTACCGATCGTCGTAGCCGAAATCACTGTACTTCAGATATGGCGATGGCGACAGGCACTGAGAACTGACGGGAATGCCTGGATTGAAGCGCAATGCCGCATGCCGGACAAAGGGGACCGTGGCATTGGCATCCAAAAAGTTCTGCTTGAGGAAGTAGTGCAGAGGCAAGGATGGTGCATCGCCGGTTTGCAGCGATCGGACATTGCTCATCTCATCGTAGAACAGCAGTATGATTTGAAGCAGATCGACGGACGTATCCGGATAGACAGCCACCACCTCCTCGGCCGATATGATGTAGAAAACGTATAAACGACGCGGTGTCGGTGAAGGTAGGGACATAACCTCGCTCTCCTTGGGCCGCTCCTCATACCGCAACAGGAGTAGATCCCTGTTTATCAATTGCATCCTCTCCATGATCATGTGCTCGATCTAGAAGTGGAAATGGTGTTTAATTATTATAAACGTATGTATATTATTTATTTACTTACAAACTCAAAGTTTTTGTAGAACTCCTGCCGCTTTATCCTCACATAGTCACAGTCCTGGTCGATTTGGCGATACAGGAAGCTCAGTACACGTTGTTTTATATGAGTTATAGGCAAAACCGTAGTCGCGTCTAAATCCTCAATGTCCGAGGATGCTCTTTCGATAAAGTCCCTTGGGCGCGGCCCAATAGTTTCCTGTTCGTAGAGCTTACCATTCGACATCTCGTAGACGTAAATGCACTGATGCAGTCGCGACATGATCGCCACCTTAGAACCGATCACCGAAATTCCGTGATTGTGGGAAACAACAATAGAATCCTGTGGTAGGAAAAGTCTATCGCTGACAACCCCCTTTTCCAGGTCCACCACGAAGAACACATACGAAAAGGCGTCCAGTTTGTCAAAGAGATCCGGATAGCGGACATAATTTTCGATGGGCAGTGCACTTTTAAGCACGGACATGGCTGCCAGCAGCACATATTTGCCATTCTCAAGGAAAACGCTGAATTCCCGATGCAGGTAATAGCGACCGTTGAGGCCGTGGCACAGCCGAAGGCTCTTCGCCTCCTTAGTAGCGAACAGGCGCTCGAAGATCGTGCTGCTTAGAACATTGTTCTCCTCGCTCTTGTAGCACTCCTTGGTGCCCACGTTTGCCTCGCGGATCAGCTCGCCGACTGCCGCCGAACTGAAGCCCCTGTAGGGGTAGATGTGTAGACTCCGCTGGTCGTGGGAGAAGGCCAGCAGCTGGCTACCGTCCGGCGTGAACTTGCGCAGGTAGACAGGAGGAATGGCCACAGAGTCAATGGTCAAGCAGGGAGTGATTGATTTGTAGAAGCGGCGCTCATATGCCAAGCGGGGCATCCTGCTCATCTGACTGCCGGCGCAGGTGAATCCGGATTCGCGGTTCTGCAACAAATGCACAATGTTCTGTGATTGCAGGCGCTGGTTGTAGGCCATGGTAGCCAGCGTTTATGTGAATAGAACACTTCTTAAAACTAGATGGACTGTATTAAACAGTTTTGTCAAGATCACAAATAAATAGAGCTGATGTTTTTAACACCAACGATGAAATAGATTTATCTAAGGAGCTGGTCACACTTAAATCGATCACAATTTGTTGACTTTTTATCAAAGAAAATTTCCTTGGGCGTACCAAAAGGGGGTCTACTTTCTGCCCACAACCAGATTAATAATAATTATTGTACTTAATGGGATTTTGCAGTTTCGAATATTTACCCCAACTGTTTCCAAGAGTATCTTGATTTATTTCCCAATGATTTTGCATTTCGGGAATCGAAAATTGCCTAGGCTTGACTTTTAAGATGATTACAACTCGGTAATGTCTTGCCTTGATTTTCCAATTGGAAATGTTATACACTTATAGTTCCTTGGATCTTAACCTAAATCACCTTAGATTTAATAATCATTATTAGTTTTATATAATGTTTTGGGATATTAGTCCAATATATCAATAAAAGGGAAAATAAACATTTCCCCACACACTTGAACAGTACTTGTAAACCTCTTAAGCGATATAAAGGGCAGATTATCTTGAATACCTTTCAAATTTAAAAGTAAACACTGCGGTTTTCGAATATTTTCGTACTTTTATGTTACCACTTTATGATTTCACTTTATTTAGCGTCGAAATGTGTTTCCAGACGTACATACACAAATAGACATCTGAAATAAGATTACTCTCCATTCCAAAACTGGCTAATCGAAGCTTAAATTAAACGTTGTATCCCACGATGTGGCGCTTGCCAATGCACTCGCCGATGTAGAACCAGAAAATAACCTCGGCGGTCACCAGGGTGTTAAGCCAGGCCTCACGAACGGTGAGGTTCTTGTAGGCACCGGTCCGGGCGCCCTTGACGATGTTGCCCAGGCCCTGGCGGATCGCCGGAATATCGGCTGGCGTCGGGGGCGTCAGCTCCACCTTGGCGTACTTCAGGAACACATCCAGCTGCGGCCTTGCCTGAGTGAGGAGCCCTGCGGAATAAGATCATTACATAATTCTGTGATTAGTATATTCAGTGGCGGAGAGTGTAATCCCTTGCCTACTGCTGGCGGAACTTACTGTTTACAAGTCCTGATCCTTTGGTAGCCAAACTCGCCATTTTTTAGATTGGGTTTCTGTAGTAGGCGTTGAAATTATACAAGACGAAAATTGGCAAAATGCGTGAAAAACTTACCTATAGTGTGACCGTGCCGATAACGATAAGAGAATACATCAAAATCATATGTCCGTCAAATTAGCGTCGATGAGTTAGCGTCGAAATGGAACGGTGGGAAAATGGAACATGGAGGGGATAATTTTTAATTTATTTCGTAATTAAGGCACTTATTCGAATAAAAAAAGTTTATAAATGCTACAAAATGATTTTCCTATTGTTTTTTACTGGCTTTGAAAGTATTGACATTTGGATATATTAAAAAACATCATGTGAAAAATCGTGTTTTCACGGATTTCTTAATATCTCGGCTAACGGGATCGTAATTCTGAACATTTTGATTCATGTTTCGTCAAAATCTTTTCAGTTGTTAATAAGAAATCCCAATTTTTCATTTATTTCCATTCATGTGCCAGCGAATAAAAATGTATATCCCGCAGCCCTGCCTGCCTAAAAAAAAGAAAACTTGATTTAAACTTGATGTTTTAACTTATGCAAAAGGAAGGATTGTCCCATAGACGGCATCGCAGTTCTGGACATTTTGAACTATGTTTCATCAAAATCCGTTCAGTCGTTAATGAGAATCCCGACTTTTTCATTTATTGCAGTTGGGTACCAGGGGTGCATAGTCATGCCTCCTCAGTACATAAATTAATAATTCAAATGTTAATTTCTCCGAAACTACTGAACGGATTTCGATGAAACACCTACCAAATTGCTTAGAATAACGATATCATTTATTGGACAGACTATTAAATGTTATTTCGAAAATTTGCTTCTCAAATCTAGTGCTTCAATGCCCTTGCTTTGTAATATGATTTCATGTCAAAAATTTGCAACGCAGTGAATAAATTATTTCCGACCCTATAAAGTATATATATTCTTGATCAGCATCAACAGCCGAGTCTATTTAGCCATGTCCATCTGTCTGTCTGTCCAATTATAAGCAAACTAGACCCTCATATTTAAAGCTATCTAAATAAAAATTTGCAATTAGTCTTCTCTGTAAATACTCTCAGTGGTACATATATAATGGATTAAAATGTTCAGAACTGTGATGCCCTTTATTGCTTTTGCATACATATGTACATACATACATACATATGTATGTCCAACCATTAAATTAAATCACATTTTTTTATTTAATATTCTTCGTCGAACATACACACATATGTACATTTATGGAAATAAAAGAAAAAGTCGGGATTTCTCATTAACGACTGAACGGATTTTGATGAAACATAGATCAAAATGTTCAGAATTGCGATCCCGTTAATGGTACGATTCATTTTGCATAAGTTTTATAATAAAGTTTAAATCAAATTGATTTAATTTTAGGCAGGCAGTGCTGCCAGATATATTTATTCTTCGTAGGAACATTTATGGAAATAAATGAAAAAGTGATGTTTTCTCTTGAACGACTGAACGGATTTTGATGAAACATCTACCAAAATGCTTGAAAAGTCAATTCCATTCATGTGGTATGCATATTTTATACAATTGTTTAAATGATCAATAGCAATTTTTTCTAGCGGGCTATTCATCGATAGGGTGTGGGAGACGCCCTATCGATATGAAGCCAGTGTTTATTAAAGAGGTCGGAAAAGCGAAACACTTGAATTTCTCAAAATCTGAAGGTAAGATCGAATTAAGATTTAATTCGAAATTACTGTTCACCCCACGTTTCATTTCAGCGTTAACTAATCGACGCTAATATAACGGACATAAAGTCAGATACTAATAATCGAAAAATGGATGAGAACTCTGCTGAATTAAAACATAGTAAAATACCAGAAAATACTAAGCCGTTAAAATTCGTTAATTTTGAGAAAACTGCATCTACAATCGAATGTTTTATTATAATGAATTATTTTCTTATACAGATGCAAAGTGGGTTTTAATGAACTGCTTTCTATTGTTGTCTTCTCCGGATTTTGGTGCGTTGCTCATGGCATTGAAGAAAGTCGATTTATAAGGTGAAACATGCAGTTCCGAATCTAAAGTAAAAAATAATTATATTTACTGCTATTGTTATCAGAATTTTCCTTACCTATGCTGGGATCTGCCCACTCCATTGCCATGTTGTGCAAAATAGACAATGCTGTGATAGTTTGCTTGGCCGATCCATGAGATCCCATTATTTCAGTGCCCAGGATGCCAAAGCGACTCATCAGCAGGCTCAGACATTTCCTGGCCGATGCATACGTGGTGGAGTGGGCGTGGTTGTAGAGTTCCTCGGATTGATTCCTCGGAAAACGCACAGGCGTGTAGAGTGAGGAAGAACAACGAACTATTTCGCTGCCCAGCAGAATTCGGCCGCGGAACTCGTTCTGCTCGAAGCGATCCTTGATTTTTGACAAGGCAAACATCTCAGCGTCTGAGGGCATTGAGTGCTCGTCAATCAGGCGAATATCCAGGTCCCTTATCTTATGGGCGGCATCGCATACAATTTGCAAATGCAGCTCTTCGTTCGATTGACCTGGATACGTCAGTAAGCCATCAGGATCTTCTTCGTTGAGATCAGAGCCAGAGTTTTCCGGTTGAAACCTGACCGTGGTCTGCAATAATGCCCCAATTACCTGTGGCATATTCCCAATGGCCTGAAATGAACACATTATTCGCTCTTTTTCCGAAAGTGTCGCCGGCATTCTTATATATCGAGACGCTTTTGACGCTAACACTGAAGCAACACGACGAGTGATTTTCGCCAACGTTCGTAAACTAACGCCATGCGCCATTGCCGTCAATTTAGGATGCTACAGTGGGAAAATAAAAACAAAGCTTATCAGCGTACAATTTCAAAATGTGTAACTTTTCCCGCCCTTGTTATACACACATTCCCATACTCCTTACCTCGGTTCCACCCCACAGCCGGATGGCTGATAGAATTTGCAAGTCTATGGGAACTTGCTCCCTTTTTAATGGTCCATAATATTCAATTTCGAGGTCGTCCCGCACTATTTCTATAATTCGCCGAAGATTTTCCTTTTTGTACCTATACTTTTTGCGGAACTGGTTTTCGTTGAGATCATTCAGTGGATTAAAACGGACAAGCTTTCTCTTCAGGACAAGCTTTCTCTGACCGCTGTCTTTGGGATTCAGAAATCCCTGAAAGTCTTTGAAATATTCAAAGTCTTTTAGGCAGCGTTCAAACGTTTGTATATCTTTCATTTTCACTTTTGTTTATATTGCTGTTAGAGATGGTGAAACATCGATGTCATCGATGTTTAGTTGCGAACTATCGATGTTTTTCCCAAGCTTTTTTTGCCGCCATCTTTAAATTCTAACGTTTTATGGTATATTTTAACAATTCAACTGCGGTTACTCTGATTTTTAAGCTTGATTTCAAAAGCCGCCATTCGCTCGTGCTCTCGGTGGCATCAGTAGTTTTCAAGGCATAAGCAGTGTTAAATTTGAAAATAAAATTAAAATATGGCTGACGATCAGAACCGCGGACGCCGGCGTCAATTCAATGAAGGCGAACCGTCTTCATCTCGTAGAGGCAGCCCTATGCAGGAACCAGTACGTACTTAAATATTTGCATTCGGATTATCAAAATCGTTTATTAAATGATGGAAAACATTCCTGAATAGTCCTATTCCAATCATAATTTTAAGAATCAAAAAGGCAATACTGTTCTTTCGCGAACACGATCTTTCAAGAATTTCCGTTATGTTCTTACTCACACACTCAAATACAATGAGCTTGTATGTGTATGAATTGTCGCGCACTTTTCTTTCAGTCCTGTATTCACTTCAGACACTGAAATTCTCGATCATCAAATAAACAAACGAATTCGTGTGCTTTAATATTTTGCATAGATGTGTGTATTTGTGTATTTTTTTAGACAGGAAAGACGCTACGATCCATGGTGTCAATACAAAGTCGTGTACCATGTGAACAAAACTGCTGGCATAAAACGGATCGAGTTTCTACTGCGCAAGCAGTTTTGCGTTTGTTGTGCCGCCTATTCTAACGGTTTGATGTACAATTCTTGTCTTGTTGCGTACATCATTTCTTAAGAATACAGCATAAAAGAGACTAGAAGAACTTTTTTTTGTTGGATTTCGAACAAAAGAGAAAACGATATGTTTTGGCACTCTTCCAATTGCGGAACACGCGAATGCGTGAGAAAGGAATTAAGAATTGGTTGGTTCTCGAGAATTAAGCTATAGGAAGAGATCAGTTTTTGCGATTAGGGTTTTGGACAATATTTACAGTTTTAAAGTTACTGTATTACATTTTTATTTACATTTAAAATAAAAGGCAGTTATACATTTTTATACCCTTGCAGGGTATTATAATTTCAGTCAGAAGTTTGCAACGCAGTGAAGGAGGCACCTCCGACTATATAAAGTATATATATTCTTGATCAGGATCAACAGCCGAGTCGATCTAGCCATGTCCGTCTGTCCGTCCGTCCGTCTGTCCGTCCGTCCGTCTGTCCGTCTGTCCTTCTGTCCGTCTGTCCGTTTCTACGCAAACTAGTCTCTCAGTTTTGAAGCTATCTAAATGAAACTTGGTAGTTAGCCTTCTAAATACTCTCACTCGTATATATGTCGGAACGGGCCGGATCGGACGACTATATCATATAGCTGCCATAGGAATGATCGGAAAATTTAAAAAAAAAAATTTTTAACTTTTTCAGTTTTCAATAGAATTGGATCAATTTTGAGATATAGCCATTTTACAATACTCTTTAATTTTGCATAAAATTTTATGAAAATCGGACGACTATATCATATAGCTCCCATTGGAACGATCGAGAAATTAAAACAATTAAAAATTATAACTTTTTCGGTTTTCAACAGATTTTCATCAAATTTGAGGTATAGCCATTTTATTTTAGTCTTAAATTTTGTGTCAAATTTCATGAAAATCGGACGACTATATCATATAGGTGCCATACAAACGATCGTTTGATGTAGAGGAAAAATGCAAATCTGTGAATGTAAGCCGCAAATATAATATGTATAGGTGAATGCAATGAAAGCAGGTATTACTTCATTGTTTTTTAACACAAATATATATAATTTATATTGAATGGATTCCTATTCATAGAACTTCTATCTGCAAGGGTATATAAACTTCGGCGTGCCGAAGTTAGCTTCCTTTCTTGTTTTCTATAAATTTCCTAATCGTTCCTATGGAAGCTAGGTACATACATATATGATATATTCGCCTGATCTGGCCCTTTATTACTTATATATTAATGAGAATAGATATCTTAGGTGTTCATTCTATATCTTATATATATTTTAAACTTGCAGAGGTCAAAAATATTTAAAGGACCTTCGAGATCTGATCAGCCATCGGGATCGCGAGCTCCCCCAGATGGAGATGGAGCTGGCAGGCAAGGAAGACAAGAGGGAGAAAGTGGAGGAGACCGCCGACCACGGGGCGATCGCTTTGATTTCGTTAATACTCGTCCGGCTGACATATTAAGCAAGAAGGGGACTGAGGGGCAGCCAATAAGTCTGCAAACTAACTTCTTCCGTCTAAAAACGAAGCCGGAATGGCGTATCGCCCACTACCATGTACAATTCGAGCCGAGTGTTGAGAACTCACGCGTCCGAATGGGAATACTTTCGGATCACGCCAAAGTTCTGGGATCAGGCTATCTATTCGACGGTCTGCAATTGTTCACTACGCGGAAATACGACAAGGAAGTAACAGTGCTGCGCGGAAAGTCAAAGTTTGATATCGAATACACAATAACGGTCAAGTTTGTCGGATTTATATCGACCGTCGAGCCTCGCTTTTTGCAGGTTCTAAACTTAATTTTGCGGCGTTCTATGAAGGGTCTTAAACTGGAATTGGTTGGGCGAAATCTCTTTGATCCCCATGCAAAGGTAAGGTCAATTGAAAGGTTTGTATTTTTCAAAAAACTCACTCGAAACTCATTTCATTGTAGATTCCAATCCGAGAGTTCCAAATGGAACTCTGGCCGGGCTATGAAACCTCGATCCGGCAGCACGAGAAGGATATTCTCTTGTGCACTGAAATAACTCACAAAGTTATGCGAACGGAAACCGTCTATGACATACTGCGACGTTGTTCACAAAATCCATCCCGGCACCAGGACGAATTCCGTGTAAACGTCTTGGACTTGGTCGTTCTTACGGATTACAATAACAAAACTTACCGCATTAACGATGTGGATTTTGGCCAAACACCAAGGTCAACGTTTGATTGCAAGGGAAAGACTGTCAGCTTTGTGGACTACTATCTGACTGTATGTTGTTTTGCATTCTTATTTTAACTCGGTTTGATATTAACCAGAATTTCGTTTATAGAAATACAACATTCGTATCCGGGACCATAATCAGCCTTTGCTAATATCGAAGAATAGGGACAAGGCTCAGAAAACTAATGCCAGTGATGTGGTGGTCCTTATTCCGGAGCTTTGCCGAGTGACTGGCCTCACCGATAATATGCGCTCTAATTTTCAGTAAGATCGGCAGCTATAACTCATCCAAGAAGTTATTTATCTATTTCTTATCAACAGACTTATGCGAGCTATGTCTGAGCATACTCGTATGAACCCAGATCGACGCATCGATCGCCTGCGAAAGTTTAACCATCGCTTGCAAAACACAACCGAAAGTGTAAAGGTCCTTAGAGATTGGAATATGGACCTTGAACAAAATCTAACTGAGCTCAAAGGCCGCGTAATTTCGGCTCAGAAAATTGTTTTCCAAAGCGGAAAGTAAGTTGTACAAATAACCTGATGAAATTGTATTCTAATATATGTCTATATTTAATATATTAGAACTAGTGCTGGCGATAACGCCGACTGGACACGATCCTTCCGAGACAGTCGCTTGCTTACCACTCCCAGGGAGGGCCTGGATCGTTGGGTGGTTATTGTCCCTGAACGAAATTCGTACGACCTAAGAAATTTGTTGGAAAGCATGCTCAGGGCGGCAAATGGAATGGGCTTTCACATTAGAAGTCCTGAAGAGTAATGAAATTATTAATAATTGTTGAAATGAATTATTTAAATTGAACTACATCAACTTGCAGAATGAAGATTTATGATGACCGCACAGCTTCCTATATACGAGCTATGGATGACTGTTGTCGCATGGATCCCAAGCTTATCTTATGCCTGGTTCCGAATAACAACGCTGAAAGGTTGTTAATAATAAACTATATACATTTTTTTTAAATAATATAATCATTTCAGATACTCTGCAATCAAGAAGAGGGGATACGTTGACAGAGCCGTGCCCACTCAAGTTGTCACGGTTAAATCGGCAAAGAACCGCGGCCTCATGAGCATTGCCACCAAGATAGCAATTCAGTTAAATTGCAAGTTGGGATATACTCCCTGGATGATTGAGTTGCCTCTGTCCGGTCTGATGACCATCGGATTTGACATTGCCAAGAGCACGCGTGACCGCAAGAAGGCATACGGCGCCTTGGTGGCATCCATGGATCTGCAGAGAAACTCAACGTACTTCAGCACTGTTGCGGAATGCAGTGCCTTTGATGTTCTAGCCAACAACCTTTGGCCAATGATAGCAAAGGCCCTGCGGCAGTATCAACGGGAACATCAGACCTTACCGACCCGTATCCTCTTTTATCGTGACGGTGTTAGTTCTGGCTCTCTTAAACAACTTTTTGAGTACGAAGTCAAGGATATAGTGGAGAAGCTCGATGCCGAGTACAAGAGAGCCAATGCAGGATCCCCAAGCTTGGCATATGTGGTGGTTACTAAATCAATGAATGTTCGCTTCTTCCAGAATGGACGTCAGAACCCGCCGCCGGGAACGGTGGTCGATGATGTGGTTACTCTACCAGAGAGATACGATTTTTATTTGGTATCGCAGAAGGTGAACCAGGGCTCAGTATCGCCGACCAGCTATAATGTTCTATATAGCAACATTCGCCTAAGCCCAGACCAGATACAGAAATTGACCTATAAGATGTGCCATCTGTACTACAATTGGTCGGGAACCACGCGTGTGCCAGCAGTATGTCAGTATGCCAAAAAACTGGCCACCCTTGTCGGGACTAACTTACACGCCATTCCTCAGAATGCTTTGGAGAAAAAGTTTTATTATCTATAATTAAAAGAAGACAAAAATGGACAGAAAGTCTGGAGTAAGCTACAAAAATGTGTAGCTTTTATAATTTCCTTAACTTTATCAAAGTTATTCCTAAAGTTTGCTATATACTTTCCCTTTTCATTGTATTTCTATAAATACAAATGAAAACAAAGCTGCGCTTTTTGTTTTTTGAAATTTGGAGTATAATTACTTTATTATTTATATTATATATATTTTACTTTATATAAAGAAATACACACAATCCTCCTATATGCTCGCTTGCTTATATACGTGTATCATGTTATTAATTACAGGTATTTAGCTTTCACAAGGATAATACAAATTCATAGCTTGCTGTTGTTGAGTATATTGAAATATGCTACGGAGTTCGATAGTTTTCGTTTAATGTAAGCTACAATATATTTACAAAATTCTAAAGTTTCGTTTTGGATAATAATGTTTAATAGATATTAATCGTATCGATTGCAAGTTTTGGGGGTAGGACTTTTGAGTTCAGTGATAATATCGATTATTCATATAATTTAATATCCAAACACCGAGACTACTATGATACAGAAGCCCATTATTATAACTACTTAGAACTTGTCGGGGCTTCAAATTCAAATGCGTTCACTAAAAAGTAGCGATTACTGTAACGATAATTACTCGTTGGTGTATATATATACAATTGTAATAATGTTTTGATTTTAGATATTAGATTAGGATTAGGTGTAGCTGTGTATATGGTATAAAGGGTGGTGTGAAAAAGCTTTGGTGCTTTTGTGTAATCCAATTCTGTATATACCACGCCTGGCTTAGACCATCGTATGGATTAATTCTCTTTGGAATTACTTTTTCTTTTTGTTTTTCAGTATTATGTCCGGCTTCAGCGAGTTCATCAGGGATCAAGCCGATGTCTCGTTTGGCTCCATCCAGCCCTCGCTGTCGTCTTCGCTATCTGAATCCTCAGATTCGGATAGCTCGATTGCAACACGTCTGGCCAAGATTGAGGCCACATCCAACGGTGCCGCATTGCGTTCAAACTCCTTTTGCTCCGACTTTTCTACCTTTCGTAGGGTAATGCCTTAAAAGAAAATTAAGTTGGGGGAAGTTATAATACATGATATTTGTGTCGAGTTCTTCCTTTGCTTACCATCTCGAATGGCCTTCATTAAATCATTGCGTGGATCATGGAATGGAGGCATTATCTTTTTAGCCGCAACAATATGTGGCGGCGCACCATTTTGTTGACCTGGCATGGGCATTTCGCCGTTGACCAGGGACTTGGGCAGAATTTGGTGTGGCCTCATTGTGTGCTGGTTGCCGCTGCCTAGGCCCATGCCATCCTCTACAGGTGGCGGTGGTGGCGGCGGCGGAGGCGCCGCATTCGGTGGCGACATCTTGGGTGAGTGCTAAACAATTGTTCGAAATAAATACACAAAATTCAATTCGAATAATAAACCTGGAAACGAACCTGATCTGGCACTGGTGGCGGCGGTGGCAAGTCGCTAAGAGAGTTCAATTGGTTGCCGCCCGTCATGCCGATGCTGTTGAATGTGTTGGCCAGTTGCGTCATAACCATATCCGCATTCTGCATACTATTCTGTGTCATCTGCGGAGATCCAGCTCCTCCCGACGCATTGATGCTTCCCCGACCCAGCAGCTTGACCGCCATGTGGCCGCCTCCGCTATTTGCTCCGTTCATCACGGACATGGGCGAAATGACGTCCGGAACTGGCGGTGGCGGTGGCAAGGCATCCCGACTGGTTGACATACTTCGTCCCCGGGTCGGTGTGTTGGCATTAGAGGCTGTTGGCGTACCGCCACCGCTGCCATTCGACGGCGGAGCCGGTGGTGGCTGCGAGGGACGCGGCTTGTTGCGCGTCGGTGTGCCGCCTGGTCCGTAGATGGGTTCCGGGGACATGACGCCCTGGCCGCCCGTCTGTCCATACAGCGCGTGCGACTGATACAGCCCGGTGTCGTACATCTGCTGTTGATGCTGTTGCATCTGTTGGACGCCTCCGTTGGGCCCGAACGTGGCGGCATACTGATTGGCCATCTGGGGAGTGAGCTGCTCGTAGGTGCTGCCATCGATCTGCTCGGGTGGGTAGGGGCGGTGCAATTCGATCGAGTTCGGTCGAGCCTGGCGAGCTTCGTAGACTCCCATATCTAGAAAATGGATGAGAATGGTTTTAGAGGAGCGCTTTAAGAGAATGATTTTACAGGACGACACACATCTCATTTAAAATTAAAGACAAAAACACGCCAATTATTAATTTGTAATTACGCTTGGGAAAAAATTAACACATGTAATTACAATCAATTCAAGAGCAGTTCCTGTGCCGATAATCCAATGTTAATTTAGATACTTGTATGTACATCATATACCGATCGAGGTTTTTTTTGGCACAGAACAGGAACACAATTTAGAGAAACCATCAAGAGAACAAGATGTGGCGACAGAAAGAAAATTAGTTAAGCTGCAGAGAGTGATAATGAACGATTGGAAAGACGGAGATACGGAAGGAAATTGACTGAAACTACAAAAGAACAGAGGGAAAGGTGTTCTATCCTAAACAGAAACCAACTGCTGCGGATCAATCATCAATCGCGATTATTAATTGGAGTCCAATAATTAGTTCATTGAGTTCGCATCACGATTTCGATTGAGTCCGAGATTTCAACTATTCTCTGCACAAAAACAAAAGGGATTGCTAGTTAGGGTAAGTAGTAGAAGTAGTAGGATAGAAGCGTGTGATAGAACACTTATTGTCTCTTTACTGAGCTTGCTTTTTATAGGTGTGTGTGTGGATGTGGATGTCTAACCTGCAATCGCAACGGCGGTTTGCTTTGTGACATTACTGTTATTCTCCAAATGCGATAGCATATTATAAGGCTTTACTGTATCTGTAAATGAGATGATTATGCGTGTTTGATCCAATACATAATTAACAAATTTAATATCGTATCAAAGTACAACGAAAAAGGATTACAAAAAAACTATAACAAACGACATGCAAGCAAAGTCCTGAGCGGTGAAAAGTAGTCGGCGCAATTCGAAACATGAAGTTTAAGGTATTGACCACAATTTAACTAGAAAATAACGATATTGTTGTCAATCTGAATAAGACTTGAGCTCATAAATAAAAGGTACATGTAACCGAAAAACACACTTAGCGCTTAGTTTTTTAAGTTTTTCCCTTCGGATTAGTTTTCTCAATAGGCCTCTTCTTGTTACAATTTTCGAAAATTCAGCAATTCAGTTTAGAGCTCACAAAAAAACAATTTACAAAAAGGTTTGTAAATTATACTTAATTTGGGATTATTGAAAGACAATGCAATGCTTCTTCCAAGCTCTGTTTTGCCCCACAAAACTTTATCGGATCAATTTTTAGCCTTGACTGAAATACACCTCGAAAGGCTTCTGTTTTCTTGCTCACATTTTCCCTATTTTATGATGATGTGGGTGTTAATGCAGCAACTGCAAACTAGACGAAATAAGCTGAAATTAGTGATCATCCGCTTTCATGATCTTTAGGGCCAATCCAAAACGAGTGAGTGATCTACAATAGGTGTATGCAATGGCTGAAACATCTGTATCGTGGGATGTCGGCCGGGCGGGGTGGCGCTGAATGAAAGCTACAAGGCCAGGGCCCCATCATCGTACCTACGTCCTGGACATTACCGATAACCTGGTGGTGGTGCGCATCGAGAGTGCTTAGCCGCAAATCGATGTCAGCCTCGCCCACAGTCTGTATTTTGACTAGCTGAACTACACGGGCAGACAGGACATAATTGATAATTAAACAGATTCCATTCGATGAACAAGTGCAAATATTCAGTGCGTAAATGAAACTTTCCAATATCAGCAGCATCAACATTGGCCCATTAACGAATTTGCTGCGCACTGAGTACTTGGCTCTTGGAGCTCCTCCATCCACAATCCCATATTCGAGTACTTACTTCCGTAGCCGGCCTCCTCGTTGACCATGGAGTTGGGCGTGCGATAGATGACATTGTTGGGCATCAATGTCTCGCCGTGCACCAGGGCACGCTGTCGCTGCTGCTCGCGCGTATTGTGCGGCACCCGTATCTTGGTCTTCTGCTTCTTGTTGCCACGTCCGGCGGCTCCGCCGGCTCCTCCCTCCTGCCGCGGCCTGTTCAGCTTCTTTCCCTTGTCGTGCATCACCCGCTCGGTGTCCTTCAGCATCTCCTGGCGCCACAGCTCGAAGAAGTAATTGGGATCCGTGTAGAATTTGAGCCCGTCCTTGCCATCGTCCCGATAGACATTGAGTTTGTCCAACGGCGGTGGTTTGTCGCACTGTGCATATGTCTCCATCATGGGCGCCGGCATGGTGGCGCGCGAGAAGATCTGCTGGTCAAATATCTTGGCCGACTTGAAGGCCTTCTTGCGCGTAATATCCGTTAGAGGTACCTCCTCAACAGTACTGTCCAGCTGGGTCACCTTGATGGCCAGCCGATCGATGCGCGCCTGCAGCGAGTTGGCCCGATCCCCAATGTTGCCCACATCGCGGGCCAGTTCCCCGAATACATCCTCGGCGTGCTTTGACAGCGACGATAGCTGGCGGATGATATTCGTCAATGTGGTGTTGGTCACCGTCTCCAACTCCACGGACTGCAGCTCATCTTGCTGGTACACGGAGCGGGCTACGTGTACGGGCTCAATGGATCGCTTCGGCAGTGGCATAATGGCGAGTAATTGATAGTTACTGTGTCCAACTAAGCAGCACACACCGGTGAATTAGCACGTCCGCATTGACTGAAACAAATCAAATGTTCAATAAGTATGTGTTTGCAGTTAAAAAGACTTATTTAAGTTATTTTAAATGAAGTTTAACTGGGTCTTCTTTAAAGTTTTAATAGTTGTCCAATTATGATTTAAAAAATGCATCAAACTCTTTTCTTTAAATTAACTTTTCTTAAAGCTTATGGTGATTCACAGGCTTAATGTGAGGTCATGAACTTTATAAAATAAAAAAAGCAGAATATGCAATGAAATATCACTTGAACATTTGATTAAAATAGTATAAAAAGCTTTTGTAATTGAAAAAAATGCCTTGATTAACGCGTTACGTAGAATATAATGTAAACAAGATTAGTAATTTCCAATTTATAAGTTTGTAAATATGTCACACTTGTCAGTACGCCGGATTTGCTTATACATTCCAATTAGCACTATTTTCTGGCAAGTTACACGGTCAAGATGCTTTATCGTTTGAAACGTTTTCTGCACTATCTGATATATTCACAGTCTGGACCAGACCAGACCACACCCCACGGAAGTGGGTATTCACTATTGGGTGATAAGAAGAGCGTTACGCCCAAAAATCACCCCCAACGCAAAGATTACGCCGCCTTCCCGCTGGGATAACGGCGATAGAGCACAATGACTTTATCCATCGGCTTCCGTTCCGACGCCAACTACTTTACGTGGTGGCACCTACTTTACGTAGCGGCTGCCTCCTGGCCTCCCACCAACCAACGCAAATTAGATATTCCGTCTGCCGCGGCTGTGCGAGTGCACACACACATGCACCCACGTACGCGCACCCAAGTGTGTATGTGGCTTTTGGGGCGACTTTACGCGATTCTCGCACTTGAACACTTGCGTTAAATCGCAACAATACACATATTTGTGCAGGCACTTTCTATTCGCACGGCTGCAGAGGCAGAGACCTGACTTCGATTTAAAACACTCTTCTCCCCTCCTCCCACACACACCTCTCGCACAGCTCACACAGCACACTCACCGCCCGTCACACTTTTCGCTTCACGCCACGCAGCACAACAACAAACATTAAGCAGCCACTTCCGTTTCGGCTGTTCGGCGTTAAATTCGATCCAATGAAAACACTAATTAGCCAATTTGGGACTTGAAAAATGCAAATATTTGCTCGGTTTGTGGAAACTATGATATTTCCACACCTTTGTTTTAGTGATGGTATTGGAATGCTATCGATAGCGGTGGACGGGGGTTTGCCAATCGATATTTCGGTATATTTTGGTACATTAACAAGACCAGATAACATGGCGCAGAACGTTTTTGGTCTTTTTCGCAACTGCCTCGCAGCGGGAAAAAGTGTGACCGCTCTTTTCACTATTCCCTCGGTATTTTTGTAGAGCAAATGTTGCGGTCATACTTTAATGAACCGGCTATATTTGAAACTTCATACACGTTCAACATTTTGCTTGGTTTTTGATTAATAATTTGTCCCTAAGTCATTGGGATGCATATAACAGCAATCTTGACTATTCTTTACAAATTTAATTATAAGAACTGTATCAGCTTATCTTAACACATCTTTTTGGCACATAAATTTAAATATGAAAAAAGCGAGAGGCAAATAGTCGGAAACATCATCCATTATTTAATTATTTTTTATTATTCGCACCCCGCTCGAGAAAAGGGTGCCGTCAGGAATCTCCTAACGCCATCAAACTTTCTAGTATTTTTGATTCCGTGGTTCCGTACAAGCGCCCACGAACGGCCGTTTAAACTATTTTAAACGGTGTTTTACCTTTTGTAGCGTACTTAAGCTAAAAAGTCAATAAATTTAATTATTAATAACCTGGTAAATTAAAATTAACTTAACAATTATTTGAAACCATTTTCCATTCGCTATTCCTTAAAATTGGTATTTTGGTAAATACAAGAGTCCATCCCTAATAGCGGGGGTGCAAATAGGTTCCACGCACATGTATCAATATAGTAGGCTGTGAAAAGTTTTAGTGAATGGATTTTTAAATTCCAGTAGAACCATTCGGCTGGAATAAACAAACATACATACTATACTTATAGAAGCCAAATAAATCACTCTAGTTGAAATTCTGCATTTGCCGTTAGTTTTATTGTAGGTAAGTTTTCGCCAGCCCACAACCACAACCTTCACGCACACTCTGTAACCGAACGGATGATGCCTCCGACTCCTCTTCTAGTTTGCCTATTTATTTACTTGGCGCAATTTTCGTGCTGGAAATGTAATCACGCCGATGTGCTCTAAGGACAAGTGCCAGTGACCTAGATATTTTGGGAGCTCTGCGCCTGAGACTCCGACACGAAACAAGAACAACACCACCGCCGCCGTATCTCTGGCTCGAGCCTTAATCCTCTTACCGACCGAGCGGTGTGCACAACCACACACAAAGTAAAGGTCACAAACCGCGCGAGGCAAGTAAGTTTCTGTACATTTGACCTGGTTTACAGAGTGGCTGCCCTGCGGCGGGAGGGGTGTGTTAACATGCACGTGTACATGTTCACCGTTGGGGGGGTGCCGGGGGCCACATGTGACCTCTTCAGCGATTAATCTGCATCCGCAATCTCTCCTCTCCATTCCATCCCATCGAACGAATCATTAAATAATTGTAGGACCTTTTTGGTGGGTGGTAACCGCGCTAATCGAGCTTAGTGTGCCAAACACATGTGCGTGTGTGTGTGTGACCAGGACTGGACATGCGTAACAACAGTGGCTACAGCCAGGCCAGCAACAGTCTGAACAACAACAACAACAGCAGCAACGGCAACTGTGCCCCCCTACAGAGCCCAGGATCACCTGGGGCCCGGTGCTACTCCAATGTGGACAATACAACGCTTTATTACTGCAATTACAACAACTGCAACCTGATCGGCCCCGTGGCCCCGTGGAACCGGAGTCAAAATCAAAATCAGAACCATCCGAACCTTCAGCAACCGTCAAAGCGAATTCCCACCAAGCCAGCCAGCAGGTTGCACTACCAACAGTCGGCGGCCAATTCGGCGCCAGACTCTTCGCTCTACGCAGATGCCTTTGACCAGCCATCGCTGATTAACCAGCGGATGATAGCTGGGAACAACAAGAGCTGCGAGTACGTCTACCACAAGCATCATCGGCGAGCAGAGGAGCAGCCGCATCAACAGCAGTACAAACTACTGCGTCCCTATGTCACTGCCGACAAGGAGCAGCAGCGCCAATCTGTCGTTTACTTCGATCCGGAGCTTAAGAAACGGAAAGCCCGCTTGCCCGAATATACGGACAATAGTCCGGATCGATATCGCGGCTTGAATTGCGCCTCACCAGAGCCGACATGGGATGCCATACTGTAATTTTGCACAATTGCATTTATTGTTACTTGTTGTCCTGCTTGTTGATACATACAACCTCCAGCTTACACGCACTCACAGACACACACATACACACACGTATTTGTATGTTGTTGTGTTAGATATCACACAAAACTCTAGATATATTATCCAAAAGACACTCATTGAAAATAGATGTGTGTGTAAAGAATCCCATATACACTTTAATTCCTCCCACGAAACTAATCTACCTTCTTTTGTTTCAGCAGTTCCGAACGTCCAACACAATATCACACGCACTATCAGCACTACTTCTCCTACTTTTACAACCGTGGAGGAGGCGAGAAGGAAATTCTGTCCAAATCCTCATTTGCCTCCAATAGTAGCCGCAAACTGCCAATGAGTAAATTTCATAAGTCAGTCTCTGTCGTCGTCAGTCCTCGTGGAGATGCGACCACCGATGACACTATCAATAATCGCCGGGAGACCTCCGAAGAACGTAACTGGCCAAATCTGAAGTATGAAAAACATGTGCTTAAGGAAAAGCTGCCGAACAATGGCTTGGACACAGATTACACTGCAGACAATGGATGGGTAGAGGCGGAGGACGATGGCGAAAATTACCGGGAAACCAAAGTCTATGACACATCTGTGGTAATTAATGGATTCGAACAGCTACATCGGCGCTATTGCCGAATATCCGAGAACACGGCCATCGAGGATACTGGCGATGGTTTACTCAATAACAATAATAATGAATTGAAATATACACGCAAATCGGTGGTGGACCAGCCGACGCCACGGCTGCCGATGACGCCAAAGAGGGCCAAAGGCGGAGCAACTGTGTCCGTCAAGAAGCCCATACCCACTGTCCACCGGGTTCTGCTTTATAGCACGCAAAGTCCAAGGATGGGACGCAAACAGCAGCTAGCCAACCAGCGCAGTCTCAGTCTGAAGCAAGGCAACAAGTCTCAGGGCGGCGGCGGCGGCGAGGGACAAACGGTAATTCTGATGGAACCGGAAGCCAAGACAGATGGCCAACGTAGCCCCATAGACTATGAACGCAACGAGGACTTTGATGACGACGACGACTTGGACAATCGTAAGAAGAAATTATAGAAATTTTATAAGCTGACTTTTTATTATCTCCAAACTTTACTTAGTTTCGAATTTCGATGAGAGCGACACGGCCAGTGTTCTCTCGGACACCGAGGACGGTTATCGTGCGCATGCCTACAAGCTAACGCATTCCACAGATCGCTTCACATCGCCCCAAAGCACGCCCAGCTATCTGTCTACGCAGTCTTCCGAGGAAGATCTTAAAAATCCCGATTCTCTGCTAGTGCCCAGCCTGTTTCCCCACGTCCCGCCCTACCTGTCCTTCTCATCGAACACGAAAAAGGGTCCCAGAGTGCCGCCAGAACTTCATCGAGTGCTCAAGTGGCGCATTACCAATATAATGCCCAAGGTGGTACGCCTTATACTGGCCAACAGTGGCATGAGGATGCTAAAGAGTGAGTTTTTCAAGGATAACAATATAATTTCTCAACATATGACTCATTACAGAAACAAATGACTGGATGGGCGTGTGGGGCAAGCATTTAAAGTCGCCGTGCTTCAAGACGATTCGATCGTATCAGAAAATCAATCACTTGCCCGGTTCATTTCGCATCGGGCGAAAGGATTCGTGCTGGAAAAATCTCCAGCGGCAGATGGGCAAGCATAGCAACAGGGAGTTTGGCTTTATGCCACGCACATACATTATTCCCAATGATCTGGGTGCCCTTCGACGCCACTGGCCAAAGTATGCCCAGCGCAACACCAAGTGGATTATAAAGCCACCGGCAAGCGCACGCGGAGCTGGCATTCGGGTCATTAATCGATGGGGACAGATCCCTAAGCGTAGGCCACTTATCGTCCAGAAGTAAGTTAATTTTAATCAATTTATAAACTATTTTAAATTTAATAATGTGTTTGATTTTTAAAAGGTATATAGAAAGGCCGCTTTTGATAAATGGCAGCAAGTTTGACCTGCGCCTGTATGTGCTGGTGACCTCCGTAAATCCCTTACGCGTGTTTATGTACCACAATGGATTGGCACGATTTGCTTCTGGTAATTATTCCATTGTATGAACTATACCAAATTTACAATAATGTGTTTTTTCTCCACAGTTAAATACAGTGCCAAAACAGACACTTTAAATGATCGTTGCATGCACTTGACCAACTACAGCATTAACAAGTTCTCCTCAAATTATTCAAAGAACGAAGATGTCAATGCCTGCCATGGCCACAAGTGGACCATAAAGTCGTTGTGGCAGTACTTGGCCAATCGTGGTGTTCGCACAGATTGCCTATGGGAAGCCTTACGCAGCTTAGTCCTTCGCACGATTCTCGCTGGCGAGAATGGCATTAATAGCATGATCCGGGCAAATGTGGAGTCCAAGTATAGTTGCTTTGAGCTGTTTGGCTTTGATGTGATTTTAGACTCAGATCTCGTTCCTTGGCTACTGGAAGTTAATATATCACCGAGCTTACACTCGGAACTGCCACTAGATGCTCATGTCAAGGCGCCTTTGGTGCAAGGCGTTCTCAACACAGCATTGTACAATGTGAGTTGGATCAAAATATTTGTCAAGGGCTTTAAAATAAGTGATATTTTATATAACTATAGGTACCTCCAAAACTATCTATGGATAAGCAAAAAGAACTGGCCGCCGAGTTCTCATTTCCGCCTGGCACACAAATGTGCTATGACAAGCGACTTTATATTAATTATTTATCGCGCGAAGAAAAAGTGAAGCACAATACTTTCACCAGGAAGTCCATGGAAGACAGGAATGAGGTGGGTTCTTTGTTATATTGATTTATTTATACGTGTAATTTATATTATCTATCATTTTTGGTAGTATGTCAATGAGATCCTGAATAACCTAACGCCTGATGACATCCGGTGCTTGATCATTGCCGAGGATGAACTGGCGCGTTGTGCGCCATTGGAACGAATTTTCCCAACTGATCAAACCCATAAGTACCTTAAATACAATGACAGTCCGAGGTATTACAATCGTCTGCTGGATGCCTGGGAGTCGCGCTACGCTAACAATCGTACCGAAGGCATCGCGCTATTGCGCGACTATTGTCAGAACAAATATCATCTTCAGGTCCCAACACCGCCAGCCAAAAAGGTGAGATCTTTATTCCTGACTGGTGCGAATGCTTTTCACAAGACTCTCATATAAATTCGAAATCCGAACAACGATTTTATGGGTTAGGTCAGGATTTTTTCATTAATTTATATTCCCAATTTGGTTGTCATATCCGTATTGTTTTCCCAAAAATAAGTTTATTAAGACTTGATTTTACATTTTAAAACTACTCTATACACAACAAAATAATACTAATAATTCTTACTATAATATAAATATCTAAAGATCAGTTTAACAAAAATATTCATTACTCTCGAATTCTGTTAAATTTTGAGGGCTGTTGGAGATTTATACAATCGTTCTTTTGGCGCTGCCGAGCCCTTTGCCATCGTAAGTCTTATCTGTTGACCATTCAGGGTCTGAGTAAAATTCAATTAAATCGAATATCTGTAGATAGAAAAAGAAACAAAACAAAAACAAAACAAAAACAGTAAGCTTGTTATAATATATCGTATTGTCTTTATTTTGAAATATACATATATCCAGGACAACAAAGTGTATTTGTCATCTCTGCCGGTTAACTACTTACCATAACGTAATAAATCTTTTGTTTTCCTTTATACAGTAATTAATGCCTAGGTAATTAATAACGAAGCTTAATTAAACCAAGTTCAATTTAATTAAACTTAAACCATGTAGAAGGGATGGTCAAATAGTGATGTTCTTAGTTACAAATCAAAGTGTTTTTAATAAATGTAATCGAAACGAGTTCTAGAAGTTTGGAAAGAGATGAAACCAATCATTTGTATTTGCATTTGCATTTGCCCTTGCCTTTGCATCGCCCTCTTGTGTTTTTCGGTTCACTATAATTTCTTTTTATTATGTCTCTGCGTATATGTACATATAAATGAAGTATATTGAAGGTGATCACACTGCATACTCCTTACACCTGAGTCCAGAACACGAATTTCTTGAAAAGCCAGGTGGGTGTCTTTTTCTGTGAACAGTAACTCTCAGCGCGGCTGTCCATAACTATAGCTTTACCAATGCTCTCAATGCTGACCTCGAAATCCATTACAGGACATTTGTAAATTTGGAACATTGCCAAATTAATGCGCCCAAAGAGATATCTCCTAATCCATTGCGAAAGTAGTGTTTGATTTCGTACTAAAAGTTTCATTCATTCCGATTAGAAGATTTTTAATGCTTAGGATTCCCCCTACCTTGCCTTTAATTTGCTTTCATTTAGTTTAATATAAAATGTCATTAAGAAATATAGATCAAAGTTACATTTTCATTCTTGGTTTTTTAAAATGAGAAATGTATATTATATAATTATTCCTTGATCGGCAAGGTACAGATAAAGATTAAGCTTACAATATTGACAATAACTCAAAATAATGTAAAGAAAATGAATTAAAATATATAGAGACGTAAAAAGCTTTAATTCGATATATCAAATACTTTCGATATATTGATATATATTTTACGTCGATATATCCTTTCGATACATCCCGAAACGTGCTGTTCATTCTTAGGAAACCCAAAATACCTTGGCCTACATCACCCACTTTTTATACCCTTGCAGGGTATTATAATTTCAGTCAGAAGTTTGCAACGCAGTGAAGGAGACACCTCCGATTATATAAAGTATATATATTCTTGATCAGGATCAACAGCCGAGTCGATCTAGCCATGTCCGTCTGTCCGTCTGTCCTTCTGTCCGTCTGTCCGTCTGTCCTTCTGTCCGTCTGTCCGTTTCTACGCAAACTAGTCTCTCAGTTTTGAAGCTATCTGAATGAAACTTTGTAGTTAGCCTTCTATATACTCTCACTCGTATATATGTCGGAACGGGCCGGATCGGACGACTATATCATATAGCTGCCATAGGAATGATCGGAAAATTTTTACAAAAAAATGTTTAACTTTTTCAGTTTTCAATAGAATTGGATCAAATTTGAGATATAGCCATTTTACTATACTCTACAATTTTGCATAAAATTTTATGAAAATCGGACTACTATATCATATAGCTCCCATAGGAACGATCGAGAAATTAATACAATTAAATTTATAACCTTTTCAGTTTTCAACTGATTTTCATCAAATTTTAGGTATAGGCATTTTATATTAGTCTTAAATTTTGTGTCAAATTTCATGAAAATCGGACTATTATATCATATAGGTGCCATACAAACGATCGTTTGATGTAGAGGAAAAATGCAAGTCTTTGAATGTAAAACTGCAAGTATAATATGTATAGGTGAATACAATGAAAGCAGGTATTACTTCACTGTTTTTTAACACAAATATATATCATTTCTATTGTATGGTTTTTTATTGATAGAAGTTCTATCTGCAAGGGTATATAAACTTCGGCTTGCCGAAGTTAGCTTCCTTTCTTGTTAATTATTAATTTAAGCCATAGTCTTAAACAATTCATAGCAAACTTTAAAAAGCTTTGAAAACACAGAAACATTTTGCATTTCATCAGTGAATTTTTAATTATAAGTAACGTAGATAGTCATGAAATATTTACTATACTTTTCTATTTATCAATATATATAAATATATTTTTTAAGTTTTTACGTTAACCCCTCATCTAGATCATTGCAATGCAATCGTTTTATATCTTTGATCAACATACAAATAGCCAATAGATTTCTACTGTCTCAATTTTATAAAAATGCAAATTAAATATCAATTCCGTTTTGATGTAATTGTAAATTTGCAGGATTACTTCATCAAGTTTATGAGATGGATTTTAAAGTGACAGTCGCTGCCATCGTATTATTGGTAGTCATTATCGTTATTGTTAGTGCAATTACCCTAGTCCTAATAACATATGTATATATTTGATATTTAATATTAATCAATTCAAATGTATTTGTAAATATAGGTTACAGATAAACAAATATTTAAATCAAAATATGTACTCTGTTGGGTAACATTCGACAAAATTGCTAAATTCGTAACTAAATTGTGATCTGGTTTTTGTAATAGATTGGAAGAAGAATAGAATACATATATATATGTATGTATATATATATTTAATTCCTAGATATATTATTATTGTGTTGTACTTTAATTATTATAGTGTAAACTGCCAATCATTGAATCCCCAAATGAGGTGATGTTTACAAATTTGAATTTTAAAGAAAATTTAATAAACAAAAACACACGACTTACATTGAAAACGAAACGGATAATAGATATGTATATTCTATATAAAATGAAGTCTTTTAACGGATGAGTTTAGTCGCGCGACTTAATCTTAAAATCAAACTTCTGGTAAAAAAAAAACACGCAAAACCAGAACCAGCTCCACGGGGTTTTTTTTTAAGGTGTTACGCAGTTAGACATTTTCTCTAAATAGTTTCAACTTAATTTATTTGTCAAGTTTTATTAATATAAATTAAATTGGCATTATGTCAGAAGAAGTTTTATAATCATTTAACTCATTTATTTTGTTTACAAAAATTAAAACTAATAGAAAAAGGGTTGATTTAGTGTTTGAAAATAATATTACGAACTAAAATAAAATAATGAATTCCTATTGAGAATTTATGTTTATAATTGTGTAACACCTCACAAATGTGAACACATATAAATTTTTTTCCTGTTAAATACAGTGATAAAACGGCGTGATAATGTATGGTTAGTTGAAACGTAATACTCTTTACTTAGATATACAATTTATTAGAATAATAACTGTTGTTAGATATGATTTTGTTCGCTATTATAAATTAAATATGACAAGTGGGTAAGTACTCGTATATCTTTCGCTTCGGTAGTCGATTTTGTCGTTTTTATTTATTTGATTAGATATCAATTTGTTGTATTTCACATTATTTTATTTCGTTAGTTTATAGATATCATAAATATGGAATATTATAGACAATACATAAATATTATTCACACTGCCATAGTTGTGAGTTTTATAAACCACCGATCAACAAACGTTTTTCAATTTTCCCAATAAGTTTTCAAATAATAATAGGAAGACCTGTACGATAATAAATAATTATTTAAATATTCCAGCATGCTGTTTCTAGGGTATAAAGAATTTTTTTATTTACCTTAAGTACTGCATGTAGGAGTCCTGGACAGGTCTAAGATTCCCCTTTATTTGTAGGATTAACAAGAATTGGCTCTTAGATACCAACTTCCTTAGTTTGTAAATAGCTTTTGATAACATTTCGGAAACCCCTTTTTACTCAATATATATTATGAACATGATTTGCATATGGTATAACTTTAATATTTTTACCTTTTAATACATAGGACTCGAACGCTGAAGAAATCAACCCAACGATGAAGCCAGAAACTGTTCAAAATGATAAAAACTCGTAGCACCAGCAATTCCAAATGATTTTTAATGGTGTCAATCATTAACAGGTAAGGACTTATAACGTCAGTATACAATCTTGGCAACTAAATAAAATATCCTTATTTTAGACTTCATACAACATCAGGAAAAGCGTATTTGGAAAACCATCTTCGATTTTTAAATTGAATTTTAGGGATGGATTTCAAAGGTCTTCCGTATTTTCGGTACCTAAGAAATTTATATGTAACTCTAGTGTAATTAGAACAAAAAGTTATACAGTGAATTATTAAATTATATGTTATTTGAATGAAGTCAAGCGTTTTTATAAATTATAGCTTTCTCCCTTTTAATCTTTACACCATACTTTTCTGAGAAAGCCTTTTAAATACCACAGAATATCTTTAAAGTTAACAGGTCATTTATTCATAATTCAAATTCTTAACACTAGATTATATATTGAATTACATATTTAATGTCTTTAAATATATAAAATGGTCAGTTTGCCCTTTAGGGTGTTAACATGATTTTTAAAGAAAGTAGAGTTGATTTTCCAAGCCTGAAGCCGGTGCACGATTAATGCTCTCCGCTACAAGGAATGCCAGCTTATGCGCGTACTGGCAAACTGCAGGCACGCGACAGGTGCCAGAGTAGTTGTAATACATGTGGGTCATCTTGTACGACAGGATCTGGAGTTTATCCGCATCTAAGCCCATGTTGTCATGTATGACATTGTAGTTGGTTGGCGACACCGTTCCCTGCCTTACTGCCTGCGAGACCAAGAAGAAATCGTAACGCTCCGGCAAGGTTATAATGTCGTCGACAACAGTTCCCGGAAGCGGATTACGCTTGTTGGCAAAGTAGCGAGTGTTGATGCGCTTCGCCACCACCAAAAAGGCCATGCGACAGCCATCCTGCATGCCAGCTGACTTGTATATTTCATCCATCTTTTCCTTCAAAAATTTAACCTCGGTGTTCACAACCTGATGGAGCTGGCCATCGCCGACGCCGTCGCGGAAGAAGAGAATACGCTCTGGAAGGGTACCGTGGTGCTCGCGGTATGCCTTGAGAGCGCAGGTCATGTTGACTGACATCTGGTTGGACAACTCTTGGCCCTTCAAATGCTCCGTCACGGAGGAGAAGTAGCGACATGATGTCCTCATGTCCATAGTGGCCACCAAGGCCCCAAAGGATTTATTCTTACTCTTCGGCGAGTGGCAGACATCAAAGCCTACGGTCATCAGGCCTCGAACCGGTAGCTCCACCATCCAGGGGGCGCCCATCAATTTGGCATTCATCTGTATTACCACCTTGGTTGCGATCGACATCAGGCCAGACGCTTTTTCCGGGCGTGGGGCAATGGTCTTAAGAGTAACCACTTGAGACGGAACTGGACGGTCTACGCAAGTGCGTTTCTTGATGCAGCTGTACCTGTAAAACGATCAAGAAAAATTAATTAGCTGCCTTATGCCTTACAGCAAACGAAAGCGTACGTACTTCTCTTCATTCGGGGCCTTCAAGACAATCATTACGATTTGTGGGTCCTTGGACCCGGCATTGTCAATCGCCTGGGAGTAGGTGGTGTTGCGGTCATCGCTGATCGTCTCGCTGCAATAACACCGCAGCAAATCAATGTGAAATTCTCAATAAATTAAGCCAATACTCACTATCGCGGATCGGTGATACTCATCTTCATGCCTGCCGCCACGCGAATGCACAACTTCACAAAGTCCTGAGCTTCGTTGACACCACGATGAGGGGCAATCACCAACCACCTCTTGATCTCCACGTGAGAGAACATTGATGAGTTGCGGAACTCGTTGGACCAATCTGCGCGGCTGTCGCACAAGAACCGCTTGTTATTGCCGAGCACAATATTCTGCGGTGGCAGAACGCGAGCTGGGATCTCCACCAAGGCCGTGTCCAGTTCAATTTGCCAGGATTTCATCAATTCCATGCTATCCTTGGACGACTTCAAGCGCTTATTGAATGTGCGCAAGCGTTCAATACGACGATCTGGTGTTAGACGCGTGTATTCGCTCATGGCTTTCATCAATCTAATCGAACCGGGAGCAAAGATGTACAATATTTTTAATTAACGCTTTAATTTTCTGTTTCTTAGCCCACCTAAAGTTAGCACGCATAGCATCTGTCATTCCGGTAGCCCTTGCTAATTCCGGTATAAGCATTATTAACTTGTCATCGCCACCACGAATGTTCTTGTCAGTGGGGCGTGATACAACTAAGGGCTGCTTCAAATCTCGAATTGTGATGTTATAACGCTGAAACATTAAACATTTAAATATATATATTTAATCAATTTGTGATTAAATATATTTACTTTTTTGTAGTACTCGCAATATGATATTTCACCTTCCCTCTGGGCGAATTTCGACAACGGTGAAGAATTAAAATCAATATCATCAACGCGATAGGTCTTGTTATTGTAGTCTGTTAACACAACCATTCCTGGATAAAAATATGTTAAACAATTTATTATTAGGGAATAACAAAATGTAACTCTTTAAAACAATTTAAAAGGTTTTTTCTTTTTAAAAGATTGTTTTTAAGCTTACCAATTACTTGACGCTTGAAAGCAGTTTGGAAGTCATCAGTGTCACGAACTGCATCCGATAAAATGTTGTACAGGGTATCAGTTCTCATCACCTTGTGTGCAATCTCTGCACAAAGTAGAATATCATTCTCGTGCTGACGAATCGAGGTCTGATAACCAGGCCAGAGTTCCAAGCGGTAGTTCTCTAGATTGATCTTAAAATGGCAGAGAAAGTAATGGATTATGTATAACAAGCAAAAAGGATATACCTAAATAACAAGCACTTATCTTACCTTTGCTTGAGCATCAAAATAATTACGCGACACCAGCTGCAAATTCAAGCCCTCCATGGCTCTGCGCAGGATTAAGTTAAGAACCTGAAACTGCTGGTTGTCCGCGGTCTCCACCGAGCCAACATGTTTGATCCTGATCTTAATAAGCTCGCCAGCGCGGCTCTTAGTCACAAGTTCCAAGACATAGGGACTATTGGGTATGGCCTTGAAGTAATTGCTGGAGAACAAGATAGTTCCGTCGAATATATATCCCCCAAATGGCTGCGATGCTCATTCAGAAAGGCTCGACGCAGGCGCGTATTGTCCACCTCAGGGCTAAAGTCCACCCTATACTGGTATATTGTCCAGTTGGGACGTTTCAGAATTTTGTAATAATTGGTCTGCACAGTAATCCTTGTTCCACTCGTTCCGTTCTTAGTTGCCAGGCCCTGGGGACGTGAGTGTACGATATCCGTGATCAGGCGACGGCCACGGACAGAGCCACGAGGATCCCCTGATTTAATATTAATTATATTTTGTATTAACAATAACCTAATCATAAAGGGAAGACATACCTTCCGAAGTCGGGAACTCAGTTTCAGCGGATTTCAATGTTTCCGTGCGAGGGTCCAAATCCTTCGATGGAACACCCCCTGCTTCCGGTTCAGTTTCAGTTCGTTCAGTTGCTTCGCTTTTGGTAGTCTGCGACGAACGTAGCGACTCGCCCTGCAATTTTAAAGGTTTATAACTAACTAACAATAAGCAAATTTGTCGTAAGTTCACAGAAAGACCAGTTTGACATTAGTGTTCCAGAGCATGGTGAATTTCTAAATATGTAAATTAATTTGTTAATTTATTTACTAGAAATTCTTATTCTTCTTTTTCTTTCGCTTCGATTTTTGTTTTTTTTTTCGTTCAAGATATGGTATCAACATACATAACAATGAATTTACCGTTTATTTTTTTCATTTCTTACGATTTCCTTAGCTTATCACACATACACACACACACACACCCACATTGAAGCTTTTTCGCATCATTTTATCCATTCCCATTTGATAAGTTTTCAATGAAATGATGCTAAATATGAATGGAATGAATACAATTTATAAAATAATATCAGATTTGATGTAAATTATTTTACAAACAAATACTGCACCTTTTTATTTTTAAGATTTTATGTTGACATTGACAACTAGAAACTTGACACATAGTTTTTTTTTCTCTTCTGATCTTTCAAATTTTCTGTAAAATGCATGGACACGACAGGAGACTACATAAATACATGAACATATGTACATAAATACCTTAAGAAATGAAATAAAATTGGCATTATTATCAAGTTTTCATTGCAATGAAAATAGAACTTGAACTGAATGCGCATAAAAGAAATACTTTACTAATGAACTTGCATAATGATGAAACTTTATTGGCACCCACACCCGCCGTTTAATAACACAGTTTAAAGTTTTAAGTGTATAACCAAAAAAAAAAAAAAAATGAAAATCGCAAATGTTATTTTCATCAATATCATCCTCATCAATTATTTTCCTAATAGGTAAAATCAAACTAAACTACATCTTAGTTGACGGCCATTTTGTAGTGACATGCAGTTAGTTGCGAAAATTTATGCGCACTTTCAGAATACTACTTCGAATTCTTTTTTCTTGGAATTATGGCGTCTTAAATGCTGCAGTCGAATTCCTTGGTTGCCATTTAATTTAAGCGCCAAATGAACTTACCAGCTGAGGCATACCGCGCTTAGCCTCCTTGGCACGCTTAATACCGCGTCCTCGTCCACGGGAAGTTCCACTATTCTCCGGCAAATCCATTATTTTTTATTTTTTCACTTTTCTCACTGATAGTTTGTTTCAACTGAAGCACGTTGACTAAAGCTCGATAATGAATGGAAGACAGGAGAAACGGGACTTTTTAAGGGCACCTAGAGGTGGAACTTAAAAGAATTCTGTAGTTATCGATAAACGATTATCCGACTACTTATTTTACACAATATTAGGGCTTTTGCACGACGTCAATAAATATATTTAGGAATATAAATAAAAAAAAAACAAATTATGTAAAAATTCGTTCAAAAATCAAATCAAATGTACTCAAAAGCAACTTCTTTGAGGTAAATACTACGCCGTTAATAAAGATGCTTGGTTAGAATTTTAAGGTACAACTGAATAGTATTGAGTCCTATTTAAAATAAAGGGAATTTTAAAAATTAAATGTTTCAACTAAAAATCTAGTTGAACTAACATATTTTTACCAATAATGGTAAGCAGCTGCTTGGAAATATTTCCACTGTTTTCTTTAAAAATAATTTATCGGAATTTAAAAAGTACAATTTTTGGCACAATGGAATGGACTAAAGGAAAGCATTTTTATTTTTTAATCGAAATTCAAAACATTTTGATTCAACTGAAACATTCAAATAAAATTCCTTACTAAAGGGGAAATGAATTTGAATAAAAAAAACAGTACATTTTAACATTAAAAAAAAAACGATTTTAATATTTATATCAAATTCCGAAAAACACTGTGTTATGTTAATTTTTTAAGATTTACAATTAAAATTTTTACAACTTCGGGAGTCCGAAATTGCTATACAGTAATAGAGAAAATCCAACATAGCACAGGAAAAAATGCATAGAGCCTGCGATGGCTACATCGACTCGTCTGTTGACGCTGATCAAGAATATATGATTTAAATGACTACTTCACTTAGTTTCAAGCTTATGACTGAAATTATAGTACCATGCATGGGTATAAAAATATAACTGTCTCTGAAAACTAAATATTTTGACCTTAAATGAACCAAAACGAATAACAGGTTCTAAATACTGCATATTTTAAAATATGAGAAGAAACAAAAACTTGGTACGATCTCCAATGCGTAAGTTACGTTTAATCAGCAATATACAGCATTTCTGTATTCGGTTCTCGAAGCGTTTTAAACACACACACACACGTTCTTTTCTTATTGAAAGTTTCGGCCGTTGGTTTTATTAACATTTTAGGTAGAAACACAATATAAAAGTCTAAGACTCCACCTTCACAACGGTCGTCTTCTCCGACACGTACAGACCGTCAAGGAATTTACGGATATCCTTATTCTTAACGGTGGTGGACTGCTGGATGAGGGCGGCAGATCCAGAGACCGACTCGATGTCGTTGCCCTCCACGATGAGCTCGTCCTTCTGGGCAGTCGAGTTGACGACGGTGACGCCAGGGGCCATCTCCACGCGACGAATGTACTTCTCGCCCAAGAAGTTACGGATCTCAATCACCGTGTTGTTCTCAGAGGTGACACAGTTGATGGGGAAATGGGCGTACACAGCGCGCATCTTGTACTGGAAACCGAACGTGACTCCTGTGTAGGCAAAACAAAGTTAATATTGAGCTTTCCATTCTCTTATTCTGCCACTCACCCTTGATCATGTTCTCAATGTGACTGCACACAGTGCGCACGGCGGCCAGCTCCTTCTTGGTGCCGAACCACTTCTCCACCTTCAGGGTGCGCTTGTCGGGCATGTACATGTCCAGGGCCAAGTGCTTGAAGCTGCGCTTCAGCGTGCCGCGGGTGCCGGTGATGGTAACCACACGGGCCTTCACCGAGGCCTTGATATCCCTGGGGATCTTCACGCACTGGTTGGAATTGATCGTTCGCATATTGACGAGTCTATCGGAAACAAGTAAATAGGGTTATTTGTTAGCTTCACAAACATAGTAAATCCATTTCATCATTCAACAGGTGCTCCTAGGGTACACCGTTTGGTCTATGCACTTTGCATTTCATTTAATTATCGTCCAACACAGTATGGCTCAATGGGATTCCGGCGAGTAGCAGCCGCGAAGAAGCATCGCCAGAGCAGCGCCGCCCACACCACCACTTTTTGTTCCGCCAAAGTTTGCCATTTATTCCCGTGTTCCCGACCATTATTTTGCTCTAAACTTTACAGCAACTTACTATCGGACCGGCCAATTACAATAAATTGTAATTTAACGAAATTGCAAATTGTTAAAATGCAATTTTACGAAATCCACGTGTGGGCTCGTTCCGGAAACGAGACGAAAAGGTGGTGGCAAAACATCGGAGCGCTATCGATATTGGATATTCTTATCAAAACATCGATAATTTGCACTATCGATGTGTTGATTTTTTTTATTTATTTCTAAACTCTTTTATATAAATTAACATTTAAAGAAACGAATTAATTAATTAATTAATCATAATAATCGTAACCATTTATCGATGCAATATATAAAAACTATGTGCATGGCATACAAAATCGATAGTATCGATTAAAAGAGTGTGACCACAGAATATCGATAACGGAGAATATCGATAATTATTCACATAAATAGATATTTTCGTCCAAGATTATAGAATTTTTTTTTTTTGTAAAAAGATTTGAAAGATGTGTGGCACGCAAACAAATATAATAAATCTGGAATTATCGATAAGCCTTGATTTTTATCGTAATTAGATTCTAATTAATACCGTTAAATAATATAATTTAAATATATTTACCAAAATATACAAGAATTAGCAATAAGCACTCCAGAAAATATTGAATAATTGAATTTATTTTATTGATGCATTTTGTTAGATTTGTGTTTCTTTCAAAATAACAACAAAATCCCCTCTTACGTTTGACCTTAAAGTTTACAAATAAAAACTTTATGCCTATTGCATTGATTTATTTTATAGGCAGTTAAAATATATTAAAATTGTAGTGACAAATACGTTATTTTAAAGCTTAATTATAATTTATTACCAATTAAAGAATACCATTAGTATCTATCGGATATCGATAGGCCAACCATAAGGCGGGAGCGTGGGTACAACAGCATCCTAAATTGCGAATTTTCCTCAAACATTTGTTTTAAGTTGGATTTTAAAGTTAGACTTGCTCGCCCGCTGCCCGCATTAGCTTAGGTTCCCACAATGACGGCTCCGCAAGCCCAGCTCGACTTCTTCGCGACGGCAGGAAAAATGCTGGAGTGGCATGACAATTTGGACAGAAATAAGCCGGGTCTGCTGGAGGTGAGTACACCACTGGGATCGCAGTTTGTATATTCCAAGATTTCTTAATAACGTCTTTGTAGTTGACGGGCGTCACCCAGCATGGCAGAGCCACGACGAGTGGACTCAACGACTACGACTACCAAAGCTTGTCCTTTCTCAAGTCGGACGAAACACATAACCTACAACAGCTGCGGACGGTGACCAAGGCGGGCATACCCAAGGAGATCCTGGAGCACTTCAAGCGTAGGTAGTTAAGGTCCCGATACCAACTTGGCTCTACTTTGTTAGTTACCTTGCAGATATCAAATGCCACTGCACGATGGGCCTGTTTCCGGAGATTGGGCGGGCCTGGCTGACGATCGATTCGGAGATTTACATTTGGACCTTCAACCAGGCACGAGACGTCGCCTACTACGACGGGCTGAGTCACTTGATTGTGAGCGTTGGCCTGATCAAGCCGAGAGCCGGTGTCTTTGTGGAGGACGTCAAGTTCCTTCTGTTGCTCACAACGCCCATTGAAGTGATCGTCCTGGGCGTTACGTTCGGTGGCAGTGGATTTAACGAAATGCAGTTGATGAACAGGCCCATATTTGTGATCGGCACGGATAACGTCTCTATAAGCGTCATCAAGGGAACTGACGACGGACGCATTTTCCTCGGTGGCCGCGATGGCTGCCTGTATGAGATTTCCTATCAGGCGGAGTCCTCTTGGTTTGGCAAGCGATGCAAAAAGATTAATCTCTCTCAGAGTCTGGTCTCGCTGATGGTGCCGAATTTCCTGAAAGTTTTCACGGTAACTAGGAGAAATCTTTACGGATAGGCTTCCTGAATCAACAGAGAAACTTATTTTGCAGGAAGTGGATAGCATTGAGCGCATTGAGGTCGATAACAGTCGGAAGCTGCTGTATGTACTCTCAGAAAGGGGCTCAATCGAGGCCTGGGACATCAGTACGGATTACTCGGCAGCCCGAAGGTTGGGCAGGATCACCCAGAACGATATTACCAGCCAAGCAGTCAAGTTGATCACGTAAGTTAAAGTAAACAAAAAGTAATACTAAGTCCTTAATCTTCTGTCCCTTCTAGTACGGTTGATCCGACGATTTTCAAGTGTGTCAAGGCCATTTGTCCGCTTACCGCCGATGATTCCAGCAAACTGCATCTCGTGGCCGTCACCCAGTGTGGCGTTCGCCTGTACTTCTCCACCATATCGCTCAATGTGCAGCAGCCGCAGCAGCAGCAGCAATTTGACACAACTGGTAACTATTCACAGTTCGATAATCAAGGTTTTGGTGGCCAGGCGGCTCCACAGGGACAACTATCGCCTGTTGGAGGTGAAACTCCAAGGGGACTTTATCTGCTCCATGTACGTTTGCCGCCCGGCTACACGCCGAACGCCACCACGAACAAGCCAAAGCAAGTGCATGCCGCCCACTACACCGAAGGCAATATGTTGATGATCACCACCCAGCAGCAGGAACAGGATCTCCTGTGGTCGGTGAACTCGGCGCCGTCGGTTAACTTTACTTATTTAGTGGAATCCACGGCTCTGGAGAGTCTGGACGGCGTGGTTTGGGGCATGGCCGAGATACAGGAACCATGTGCGCCCTTCCTAAAGTCACCCTTGACCAGTGCTAAGCATTCGCGGAAAGTGGCGCTGCTCACCAATCAGGGCACGCACATCATTGAGTTGCTCAAGATGCCAGACGTTCTCATGCAGATTCTCCAGTACTGCAATGGCCCGCATCACGAGGAGGTAAAGATGTTCTTTCAGTCGCAGAATCAGCGCGAGGCCTGCGTAACAGCCCTGTTGCTGGCCACCTCGGACAGCTATCGTGGCGGTAACATCGCCCTGTGGGCAACCCAAGCGTTTATGCTCTATGGCGGTGAGCCCTGCTTCCAGCATCAAAAGTTCCTGAATGCGAATAACAACCGCACCTTGGCGAATCAGACGCCGCTTGGGCCCAGTGCAGTCACCGGAAGAGAGCGTTTGCCCATGTTCATGTCCACGCCAATGCCAAATGCCAATCAGGGGAACACGCCGATGTCGTACAATGCTTCGCAGTTTAATCAGCCAATAAGTCCAAGTAAGTAATAAAGAGTAAAGAGTTAAACATTACTAATATTAAATGTATTTTCAGTTTCAAACCTGCAACAGCCATCACCGGTGGTGGTGAATAATGAGAATTCGCAAATAGTTTACTCGGCCAAACACGATGGGTTGTACTTGTACGTCTCCCGAATGCTACGTTCCATATGGCAACTGCCTTGCGTAGACAAAAACTTCTGCTCCCAAGTTGGTCCCAAAGACTGTTCTGTTTTGTTAGCCGATCTACGGGCCCTGCGCCGCTTCCTTGAAGATCATTCCGTGCACGATATATCCTGTAAGTTTAAAGGAATATTACGTAAACTCCTTAAGTTATCCCACATGTTGCTCCTTGCAGCTTCTACTCGCGTTTCGTTCGACAGTCATTTGGACAGAACCAGTGGCTACAACACTCTCATTATGGCCAACACTCATTTGCCCATCTCCGAGCAGCGTAACTATGCCGAGCAGGCACAGGTTGAAGAAAAGCGTTCCCTTTCCGCCCTCAATCTCTTTGTCAGTAAGTACAATTGTTTGCTTACTTAAATTTTTATAAGTAACCCAATGAATTTCTTTAATTAGAACACGCCTGTGAGGTTCTGTCTCTGTGGAGCATCTTAAATGCGCACCCCTTTCAAAACATTTGCCTGCAACTTAATCCCGAACAGCAGAAGATGCTTATGTGCTGCACTTTCCGCGACCTCCTGCTTACCCGATCAGAGGTTACAGCCTTTCTGATCATCTCCCTGATCAATCTGTATCTGAAGGATAAGGCCGGAGTGACGGAGGTGTCCAACAACTTGCGCGAGCACTGCCCCAATCTCTACAGGCACGAGGATGCCGTCACCTACAAAGCCACCGAGCTATTGATGAACGCCAAGAACTGTACTTCGGCCACCGAAAAGGAGCAGAAGTTGCGAACCACTCTGCAGATGTGCAAGGAAGCTGCACCCACCTTACCGCTGCGTAGCATTTGCCAGCAGTTCACATCCACAGAGTTTTACGAGGGTGTCATCGAGCTTACGGCTGTCTGTGCGGCCAAAAGCGATCCCGAGGAGGTGGGCATACATTTTTACACCAACGGTGAACCATCTGAGGATCGCGAAGGATACGCTTGCTTTGTTACCAGGTGAATAGACATGAAAGTTGATTAGTTATTTGGGTTGAGTATATCAAATATGAAGATTATGGGAAGGGCAAAGCAACATTCAAGTTCTTTTATTAATTTGCTACTTCATCTACAGGATGAACTACTATAAGGAGGTGCAAAATATGCTTGATCACATCTATCAGACGGCACGGAATAAGGTGAATCCGCAGGATCAGACTAAAACATCGCCCATTCAATTCAAAAACATAAGCTCTACCAAAGTCATCCCGAAAATTGTGGCTCAAACGCTGCGCGTCAAGGACCCCCTGATCCATGTGACCCTCTACGAATGGCTGCTCGCCCACGATATGCTCAGTGAACTTTTGGATGTACAAGAGCCAACACTGGGCGAGTTCCTGCGACGCAATGCCACGCGCAATGCCGAGAATGTGGTTGTGATCGATTTGCTGTGGAAGTATTACGAGAAGAACAATCATCATCCCCAAGCAGCACAGATTTTGGATAACTTGGCAATGACTCGCAGCGAAAATATAACCTTGGATCAGCGTATTGAGTACTTGGTTCGAGCGGTGATGTCCATGCGAAATGGAAACGTTGGTTCGTCCATAACAAGTGGGATATTCCTGAAAGAGCTTGAAGATAAGGTAATAACAGAATACAATCTGTATATTTATTTTCCTAACGTATTATTTTTTAAATTCATAGCTAGACATAGCTAAAGTTCAGCGAACAGTACTGAACGCCATGAAGGAGCTGGCTCGCACTAACCATGAGGCAGCCGCCGCCGTTAAGGAGCTGAACTACGCCCTGTACGATATCACACAGCTATATACACACTTTGCGGAGCCCTTCAATCTTTGGGAGTGCCAATTATCAATACTGAACTGCTCCCATCACAACGATCCCCTGCTGATCGAATCTGTGTGGGGTAACATTATTAATAGCACTGTCGAGGAGCCGGGCACGGCTCTGGAGCGCAGCAATCGGTTGTTTACCAAAATCGAACTATTAGTGAGGGAGTATAATGAATCGGGTGCCTGCTTTCCCTTTGCCTTCCTCATAAGGGAGCTGGAAATTAAGGCCTGTCAACTACGGTTACCAGAGGGAATAGTACCGGAAAAACTGGTCACAATGAGTCTGGATGTTGAGCTCCTTCTGGAATATTACTCAAGGTGAGTAACTCTTAAAGCAAATCGTTAAAAACATGAACTTACATTGTATTACATTCCAGAATGATTTCAATGAATGAACGTGTGTGGGCCAACGAGGGTAATGAGTGGCATTTGATCGAGTCGGCCATCCGAGTGGTCACCCTCCTGGCGGACAATGCACAGACCGTTTGGTACCGCTCCAAGTAAGTAAAGAGAAGAGCGAAGTCCCATAAAAGGATTATATATATTGATATTATAATGACGGTGTTTCCCTTACAGACGACGCATCATTGGCAAAGCGCAGGACATAGTGGCTGGGTGTTTGAATATTTGTTACCAAAAGCCCGACACCAATCGTCTACAGAACTCGCTTAAGGAACTTCAGAGCCGGCTTCAGCGCCTAATGGTTAATGGTTAAATAAATCTATTTTTTTGGATTGTGAATTAATTTTCTGAACTAGACGTTAAGTTTGACTGAGATATATATTTTGTAATTGTATTAAAAGTGTTAAATAAATTGATTTCCCCCGTCGAAGTATGATCACGAAGTGTCCATCATCTTCAGATGTGCTTCTGTCAGAATGCATTTGGTCATGTGGCATGGGCAGGGCATGGGATGTTCCTCAGTGTTTGGATCGAGTAGATCCACTTCCAAGTTGTACTTGCGCATGTCGCCCGCACTGCGTTTCATTGTTATTTGAAAGGCAATGGGTGACTTCTCCTCCAGGCTCTCGCAGGATTCCTCGGGCAGCACAACCACGCACTGTTTCCAATGCGTTTGTGGGGACAGCGGGGATGTGCTTAGAACCACAGACTCGGACTCGTCATCGCTCGGAAAGCGCACCTCGAACCAAATGCAGAATCCCTGGTGGTTACCTGCCTTCTGGGCGGTAACCACCTCCTTGAACTGAATGCTGTCCAGATCGCTGGCATTCACATCCAGTAGGCTCATCCAATGGAAAACGACGCCTTCGTGGAGCAGATCTTTCGGATTCAAATGCATAACCTCCGGTCGGGATGACTTCTGCGACCGCAACTTGTTGGCAAATGTGTTCATTTTAATGCCGTCCACACTGTGCCAGTCGTCGAAGAGCGATGGAACCGCGCAGGGTGCCACAAAAATGGTGCACTCGCTGGGAAACAGAAGGCCGTCCTCCTTAAGGAACTTGTCCCTGGCCAACAGAACTGAGTCCAGCATGCCCTCGTGCAGTAGGTAAAAGCCCATCCACTCGGAAACAATGATGTCCACCTTCTCCGCCTCGGCAGGCAGCACGAACTCCTCGATCCGGGACTGGATGACTTTAACAACGTTTGTCAGGCCATTGTCTTCGATCAGGTCCAATGCAACTTTGGTGGCCACATTGGAAGCCTCCACGGCGTACACCAAACGGGCCCCTGCCTGGGCACAGAAGGCAGATAGGATTCCGGTGCCGGCGCCCACATCCATAACGACCTTATCTTTGAACAGTGCCTTGTTCCCGAGTATCGCATTGTAGTAGGCTGTTTGTCGTGGCCGATCCTTTAGCATGAGCTCGTGGATCTGCCATATGGGTTATTGTGTGTCATTTCGTCGATCTTTATTTGTATCAAGCTCACCTCCAAGTTTTCATATTCATCGAAATATGCGTTGGACATGGCCAAAATCAAAACATTCACAGGTAAACTTTTCAAAACAACGTGCTGGAATAACCAGTGTGACCGAAGAAAATGCATACAGATCGATAAATGGTTATGGCGCTTTCGATAAATGTTTAAAATGGATTAAAAGGGAAAAGAAATCATAAAAGGGAAAACAACTTTGGTAAATCTATAATTTAATTGATACTAGTTTCACTTTGTTCCTAAAATTCATCTGAAGAAAAACAAGATAATCATGACTTGGTATTACGGACCTTCGGTGAATCAATTAAGTGCCATAGCCACTTTTTTCTCCAGAGTCTTGCAGCCGGAGATGGCGAACAGGCCGTGTTTGCTATCAAAGCTAATAGAATCTTTAAGGATGTCATCTATGATGCTCTTGTCGGGTGTTTTTTTCCAGCGCCCGAACTCCGCCTCCAGGCACTTTATCACATGCGTCTTCTCCATCGGGAGGAACGGAATGAAATGGTCGATGACGTGGGAGTCTATTAAGGCGGTCTTTTTCAGTCCTCCATGTGTGTTGTACGCAGCCTTTTTCAACAGCGGCTCGAAGTCGCTAAGCCGGGTGTCCTCGCGCAACTTACCGCCCAACATCAGTTGGCCCAGATGGTCGGCTATGTGTACGCCGCCCGTGTTAGAGATGAAGATGAATATCGCCTTCGTGTTGTCCGTGCCGTCGGCGAAGGCATTGTAGTCGACCAACGAGGCGAGGGTGTCGAAGACGCCGCTGGGCATCTTGTCCACCTCATCGAAGATGAACAGCGAGCGCGGGCAGTTATTCAACTGCTGTCGCACCTCCCTGTTTATCCGCTCCTTGTACTCGCCCAAGCGCTCCTCCTGTGGAAAGTCAGCCTGACCCAGGTACTTGGCCACGTAGCCGGACCTTGAGCCCTCCAGGTAAAGTGCCTGGGCGATCTGCTCAGCCACGAAGTTCTTGCCCGTTCCCGGCTGACCGTGAAAGCTGATCACTAGCGGCTTGCGCGACGTCCTCTGGGAGCTAAAGTGAGCCGTCAGGGCGGGCACTACGTGCTGAGCCACGATGTGTTGGCCAATAAGCGTACTCTCTAGCGAACTCCTGAGTGCTTGTACGTCGCCAGGTATGCTCCGGTCATCGCAGCACTCATAGAATCTGCAGTACGTTTGGTTCTTAAAATAAACTGCAGTGCCGGCGAGGCCGAGGCCCACGGCGGTCATGCTGAACGGCTCAAAAGACTCCGCTGGCAGGATAAGCAGGACGCAAAGGGACATCGACAGCTCAAGGAACATTTTGGTGGCTCAAGCTTTTCACTATTTATGTTCTTATTTATCGCTAAACTTGCTTACATTCTTTTAGAAAGTGTTTAAAAAAAAGTAATTTATCGAAAAATTTAGTAAGACCGTCCCACGGAATCAGCAAAATCTGCGCATATCGTAAGTTTTCTTTGGTATTTTAAAGCAAAGGCCAGGCCGCCAGGCCAAAATGGCCGTCTCGTCCATTTCGTTTTCGTCTTCTCCCCATAAAAGTTGATAGACCTACAAGTAAGATTTTCCAAGTTAATTATGCGTAAAATGAACCATTTAAAAGAATAGTAGTTAGTGTTCAGCATAGTCATGGCATTGAAAAACGATGATGGCCTGCTTTTCCTGCTAAATGCAAGGAGATCAAGCTTATTTTCTAGAAAATAGCTTGACGCCAAGTGGTGGCACCACGTGTTTCAAAATGGCGACAGCTGGAAAATGTGAATCGAATGATGAATACCTTAAATACCTTTTGCGGTTTCCACCAGAAGGCTTCGGCCTAAAGATGGGCAAGGCGTCTGACCAGAAAACTAAGATTAAGAGTTTGGCAAAGATTGCATCTTCGGTACTAACCTCAATGTTGTTTCTCTTGCAGAATGGCGGACGCAGCTCCAGCCCGTAGTGGATTCCGTGGCGGATTTGGCTCTCGTGGTGGTCGTGGTGGACGCGGTCGTGGCCGTGGACGCGGCGCCCGCGGTCGTGGCAAGGAGGACTCCAAGGAGTGGGTGCCAGTGACCAAGCTGGGTCGCCTGGTGCGCGAGGGAAAGATCAAGTCCTTGGAGGAGATCTACCTGTACTCTCTGCCGATCAAAGAGTTCGAGATCATCGACTTCTTCCTGGGCTCCGCTCTCAAGGATGAGGTGCTGAAGATCATGCCTGTGCAGAAGCAGACCCGTGCCGGTCAGCGTACCCGCTTCAAGGCCTTTGTGGCCATCGGCGACAACAACGGCCACATTGGTCTGGGCGTCAAGTGCAGCAAGGAAGTGGCCACCGCCATCCGCGGAGCCATCATCCTGGCCAAGCTGTCCGTGGTCCCCGTGCGCCGTGGCTACTGGGGCAACAAGATCGGCAAGCCCCACACCGTGCCCTGCAAGGTGACTGGCAAGTGCGGTTCCGTCTCCGTGCGCCTCATCCCCGCCCCCCGTGGTACCGGCATCGTCTCGGCCCCCGTGCCCAAGAAGCTGCTGACCATGGCCGGTATTGAGGATTGTTACACCTCGGCCCGTGGCTCCACCGGCACCCTCGGCAACTTCGCCAAGGCTACCTATGCTGCCATCGCTAAGACGTACGCTTACCTCACTCCCGATCTGTGGAAGGAGATGCCTCTGGGCTCCACCCCCTACCAGGCATACTCGGACTTCCTGTCCAAGCCCACTGCTCGCCTGCACGCTGATGCCTAAAGCGACTACCATGCAATCCAGACTTTTTGAAATAAACGTCAATAACATATAAACTAGAATCTGTTTTATAATTTATAGGAAGCTGACATGGTTAAAAAAGGCTTGGTGATGCAGCTTAAAGTATTTGTATATATGTATTTTAAATCAGTTGTATACTACAAAATAAGTATAATCTAAGAACAACCCTACGCTTTTACGCCGTACGCCTCCGGCATACGCTCAATGGCGTACTTGTGCGCCGCCACGTACATAATGGGTACGCCCGGGATCTTGCGGATACGGTTCTTCAGGTCCTTGTCATTGGTGGCCACAATGTAGCACTTGTGCTGGCGCACCCGCTCCACCAGGCAGTCATCGGCATAGGTGCCCTTGTGCAGGCAGGGCAGGCGCTCGAACCGGGGATCCGAGATGATGCGCAGGGCCAGTTTGTACTTGTTGCCCAGCTTCTCCAGCTCGGCACGCACGCAGTCAGAGATGTAGGGTATGCACTTGGCATACAAACAGTCCATCATTCCCTGCACAATGTCCAGCTTGTTCTTGATACTAAAGTTTATGAAGTTCGTGTCCAAGACGATGTGGTAGGGCGGTCCCAGCTGGGTGTTGTACTGAAAGAACAAAGCGGAGCTCTGCTGGGTAGCCTGATGTACCTTGAGCTCGTGCGGATCAGCAGCCTTCTTTCGTTTAATCCTCGTCTGTTCCTTGATCCGACTGTCGGTGGGCTTCATCAGGCGTTTTAGTTGCGCATTTCGCTGCTTCTTCACCTTTTGCGTCTTTTTGTGTTTTCCCTGTGGTGTACGGATAATGTGTTAGAGTGTGACATTTTTAGTACAGCAAGTTAATTACCATTTTAAATATAACTCCTTATAAAACGTAAACAATTAAAAACAAAATTGCACGTGCGGTTAACGATTTTGGTGATCAGCTGGTCGCACGGAGATAAATTGGTATATCGATATTAAACAGACCATTGTTCAATAATTTTATTTATATTAAATTTATTAATATGACAAATATCGATATTTGCCATTGTGCGATATTTTAATATCGATATCAAGGGCTGCATTTTTTCATATTAAACAGCCCATAATTCAATATTTTTATATATATTAAATTTATGAATATGACCAATATCGATGTTTACCATTTTGCGATATTTTTATATCGATAGCGAGGGTTGCATTTTTTCATCGCCGCCATTACTTCCCACGTGTATTTGTCGGATGTCGTTCATTTCATTTTTAAACTCGCGATGGTAAGTTGTACAGAGCTTAGCAAAACTGAATAATATAAAAAAAATATAAAAAAGTTAATAAACTAAAAGTGTTGTGCCTCAAATGATGAAACTGATGACGAGACTGAAGGGACATTTTCTCGACTCAACGCTGTATTTTTCAGCGTTTTGTTGAACAATATTTGTTCATTTAAAGATGAATCGGCAATCTGATGGCAATTCTTTAGCATAAATTGTAGTATTTCATGGCGTAGACTGAGTGCTAACGAGACTAATTCTATTTGCAGTGAGAAATAACGCAGACCTAATGGATAAATTGAACTTCAAGCGTGCATTGTGCGCGTGAGACGCCTCCGGCCACATGTGACGTCGTTGAGACACCTCGGGGCACGCGAGGTTACTGAGACACCTCGAGACACGCGAGGTTTCTGAGACACTTCGGGACACATGTGAGCCCTTTTGGGGACACAGAGAAGGTAAGACATCGTTTTCTTCAAGCAAATGCCTCTGCTCTTGTGATGATTTTTTACACAGACCTGTACCGAGAGCTAGACTCGTGTGGAAAAATGTAAACTGATTCAAAAAGCAAACCACATTTCCTTGACAATGCACATTTACACATATTAATTCAACGTATTTCTTCCCTTTATTTCTAGGTCTTGGAAGCCTGGTTGAGGTTAGGTTTTCCTACCCGTGGACGCGAAGCGGCTGAGCACGTGCATAAGACCATCCAAGGTATGTATTATATTAATTAGCAGTAATTAGAATAAGTTGAAAGTGCTTAAATGATGATTGCTTCAAATACCTTTTGCGGTTTCCACCAGAGGGTTTCGGCCCAAGGATGGCTTTTGGCGTCTGACTTGCACTTTAAACAAAATTATTATTTTCAGTGCCGTTTTACAAAAACTAAATTATTTTCATTTTTCCCGTTACAGATTGACCGACTTAAATATTTGCTGATCCAAAGAAGATTCTTCAACCCAGAAAAATTATTAGAAAAATAAAGCTTATATAAATGGAAATTTATTCTTTGGTTTAATTTTATTTAAAAATCCTTTTAATGTCAAATTTATACTGCTGTAGTGCAGATGGGGAAATATGTGTGTAAATGCGGGCTTGTTTCAATTGAAGGTGATTTCGTTAGTTTATTAAAATATTGCTCTTTCATTTTGAAATGCATTTACGTATTGCAGTTATTTCGTTAGCATAAATAAGGCAGTCGCGCAGAAGCGTAATTTTGTTAGTCTTGAAAATTCGTTACCAAGAATCGTATAGAAATTAAATTTTAATTGCTAAAAAATTTTAGCCTAAAACCAATTTATGGGGCCCATCCAAAGTAAACATTTAAAATTAGGCGCCTCGCAACAGGCCGATTGAAATCCGATAAGTTTCGATATCGATAGCATGGAAAATGAGACGCGCCGGTTTAATCAAACCGCTTCTGCGTATAAATAACAACAAATCAAGGATCTGGAGAGAAAACTACGCTACCCAAGTGGACACAAATTTGGCCGAGTGTACGCTGGACCCCAAGGAATATGTGGACTTTAAGCGGCAACTGCGACAAATCAACTTGCCCCACAAGGACGGGCACACGTGCTTGCAGCTGGAGTGCCGATTATGTGAACGCAACAGGCCGACGCCGGCCCCAGCAACGGGCTTCCAAAAAAGCACAGACCATGGCGGACTGCTGGCTTACGTAAACAAGAGGACGGGTGCGTGTTCAACTCCCACTTATCCCAAAGATCTTTGTCATTGATTTATCTATTTGCAGGAGCCTTTATGTGCCCAAATTGCGATGTGAAAACCTCGTTGGCTAATGCCCTGGCTGCTTATCAGCTCTCCCCGCCGGTTGGCTACAAGAGACAGCCGCAAAGGCAGCCGCTATACGAATCCCGCTTTCCGCACCTCATCGATGTAACCCAGGAAGCCTGCGAGGCTCTGGGTATCAAGGGTCTGAAGGAGGCTGCCCACCTGACCGCCATCGGAGCCCAATGGGAGCCGCAGAAGCAGCTATTGCACTTCAGGTTGCGCAATGCGTCGCAACAAGTTGTCGGCGAGAAGGTGCTATATCTCGAAGATCGACGTGAGGAGACCTTCCAGGGCAGCTCCAGCTCTGGTCTCCTGATCCATGGAGCCGGAAACAAAACCAAAGCCATTCTAGTCAGCAATCTCCTTGATTTTATTGTTCTCGCCACGCAAAACATTGAAACGCGTAAGGAAAATCAAAGAGTAGTATGTAGTAGTCTAATCCCTTCTCAATATGTTTTAGATTGCATTGTCTGCCTGCCATACGAGTTGAATATGCTGCCGCAGGAGTGCTTGCCCGGTTTGGAGCGCTTTAAGGAGCTGGTATTCTGGCTGCACTACGATGCCAGTCACAGCTGGGACGCAGCTCGAGCGTTCGCTCTCAAAATGGATGAGCGACGGTGTCTGTTGATTCGACCCACAGAAACGGAACCGGCGCCACATCTGGCTCTCCGTCGTCGTCTTAACCTGCGTCACATTGTCGCCAAGGCAACGCCAGTGCGTCACAAGGCCATCACCACGTTTGGGGCGATGCGAAATGACATTCTCAGCGAGCTGCAGAACATCGAGAAGGTGAATGGAGTGAAGTGGAAACGATTCCCAGTGCTAAACAAACTGCTCAAGGGTCATAGGAGAGGGGAGTTAACCATACTCACTGGGCCGACGGGCAGTGGCAAGACGACGTTTATGAGCGAGTACTCCCTCGACCTGGCCATGCAAGGCGTTAGTACGTTATGGGGCTCCTTTGAGATCCGCAACACACGCTTGGCGGCCACATTGTTGCGCCAATATGTTGGATATCCGTTGGACGACAGGCTGCAGGAGTTTAATCACTGGGCCGAGGAATTCGAGCGCCTGCCACTCTACTTTATGACCTTTCATGGCCAGCAACCACTAAAACCTGTGCTGGAGGCCATCGAGCACGCATCCTATGTCCATGACGTGATGCATGTGATTATCGACAACCTACAGTTCATGATGGGAGTGTCCACGTATCGGGGCGACAAGTTCTGGGAACAGGACGCGATAATAGCTGCTTTTCGAGGCTTCGCTACCAAGCACAACGTTCATGTTACGCTGGTCATGCACCCGCGTAAAGAGCGGCAGGAGGACGAACTGACCACCAGCTCGGTTTTCGGAACAGCAAAAGCCACCCAAGAGGCAGACAACGTTCTGATCATCCAGGATAAGAGACTAACATCAGTGAGGGGCAAGAAATACCTGCAGATTGCCAAGAATCGTTATTGCGGTGATCTGGGTATCATGCCGCTGGAATTTGATAAGGATGCCCTCAGTTACTCCACTCAAGTCCAGAACGCCAAGCGGCGTCGAGAGCAGCGTGAAAAGACGGCCACAACAGAGGCGTCATCTATGTAAATCTGGGCTTATTATTATTATAATTCGTTTGTCTATGGCTAGTTTAGGCTTAAGCGTATCCTTTGATAAAAGACATCACGTTGAGCTCTGCTTGTAGTTCTTGGTGTTCAGGATCTTTTTGCCGCACATGGCGCAGATGGCCTTTTTGTATGCGCACGCCTGACAGTAGTGGGCTCCCATCTGATGCACCTTTTGCCGGCAAATCCTAGTAGGGAAAAAGATCTCCTTTAACTAGATTTTCATAAATAAATAGCTTGTGCTGATGCTTACCGGCAAGGTGCCAAAGTGGTGCCTATGGGATTGTACCTCTCGCGTGCCGATGATAGCGCTTTGTTCTCGTTGATTTTCCGGCCCCCAGCGGGAGCGGTGCTAGTTCGCCAAGGATTTGGGGCAGATACTTTGGACAATTTGGCCTCACACTTCTCGCAAACCATTTTTCTTATCAACTTCACTTTGTTTACAATTTACAATAGCAGTGTGACCCCTCGGTGTGCGGGAAAAATTGTCAAACTATCGTTATCGGAAAAGTTTGAACGCAAGTGAGAAAGGCATGTACTTTTTGAATTTAATGTAATGTAATATATAAGCGATGTAAAAAAAATATTTTTTTTTTTTTTTTATTTTAAGACTTTTAAATAATAACGATGGCTTACAATTATTGCCAGCAAAACCTTTCTTAATCATTGGGGACTGTTGTGTATATTAAGATCTTCAAAGACTTGGAGCATTCGAATTAGGTCGTCCTTCGTTTGTGTGTCTGGATGTGGCGCGTTAGAGTTTGCTTTAACGAAAATGACTTCTCGCACTGGGAACACTTAAAAGGTCTCTCTCCTGTGTGGGTTCGAATGTGTAGCTGAAGATGATGCTTTAGTGAAAAAGTCTCCTGACAATGACAACACTTAAAAGGTCGTTCTCCTGTGTGTGTCCGGATATGTCGCTTAAGATCACCACTTATTAAAAAAGACTTTGGGCAGTCGGAACACTTGTAGGGACGTTCTCCTGTGTGGGACAGAATATGCAACTGAAGACTTTGGCTTAGCGCAAATGTCTCCTGGCAGTGAGAACACTTGTATGGTCGTTCTCCTGTGTGTTTCCGGATGTGTCTGTTAAGGTCGCCGATTGTCAAAAACGATTTTTGGCAGTCGGAGCACTTGTAAGGACGTTCTCCTGTGTGGGACAGAATGTGTCGCTGAAGATGTCCGTTACGGGAAAAACTCTCCGGGCACTGAGAACACTTGTAGGGTCGTTCAAGAGTATGGGTCCGGATGTGTAGTTGAAGATTTCCCAATTGCGAAAAGGATTTCTGGCAGTGGGAACACTTGAAGGGTCTTTCCCCCGTGTGGGTCCGGATGTGCCCCTCAAAATGACCCTTATGCTCAAATACCTTCTGACAGTGAGGACAGTTGTACGCTACTTTCGGAGCTCTCACTGGATAATTCTCCTCGTTGTCATTATTGCCATTATTTATATCATCACAGTAATCATCTGTTTGATTTGAATTATCCTCGAATTCCTCGCACTTTTCTTGGTTGTCACACTCACTGATATCATAAACGGCGTACTGGTCTTCCTCAATTGGCTCGTTTTTCACTTGAATATCATCATGTAACTCGTCTCGTTTTAAATCTTGATTCTCTATAAAATCTTCTTCAAATTCTTCTATTTTTACTTCAGGTTGAATCCTTCCCAGTCCCATATCTTGTTCGAAATTCAAGTTCTTACTTTCGCGATCTGACATTTCGCAGATTTCCTCCTTCAGGATGGTGTTCTCTTCCTTGAAACGTTTTTCCATCTTGCAGAATGAGTATTGGCCTTATAGACACTACAAGTTTGGAAAGATATAGTGGGATATCTGGGTTTATTTTAAGAATCTCCGAAAATCAGGATACCAACAGGGCAATACTTAGTCCTTTGAGATGCGGGGATAATTCACATGCTCGGCAAAGCCCAGCACCAGATTCTTGACCCGCATGTCCGTGGTGGCCCCCAGACTGTAGCGGGCTTCCTGCTAGTCATACTAAAGCTGCGTGGACGGCGGCACAGGGCAATCAACAAAACGAATCGCTAATTGGTATTTCCCTGAGCAGAATTCCTTGTTTATTTTTGTTTATAGTGAAATAGTGTGCCCGCCGTTCAAACAGATGAAAAAAACAATAGGCAAACAGCTGACCCAGACTTAAGTACCATCGCTAATATTTATCGAAATCGGTGCAGCTCTATCGACTCAATTGTTGTTAAATTAAAATTGCAAAAACCAAAGGAAATGACGACGGAAAAGGGCGATCAACTGAGGTCTAATCACAATATATTAATATTCAATTACTTTGCCACTTATACACATTTGCATTGCAGGCAACAGCTCATCGCGGCGGTGGTAAAAAAGCGCGCGGCTTTAGCGCGGGCCCATGCTGTTGTTGTGCGGCTTATGGAGCCGGGAATACCGGAGGGCGAGTTCCTGTCTCTGGTAAAAATAATCCAAATTGAATGCGACATGAACTAAATTAGCAATTATAAAATACCTTTACCTGCAGCTCTGGGAGATTGGCCCGTCGAATTACGACGATGTGGTGGATGAGCGGGATATAAACAAACTATGCGGCTATCCGCTATGCTCCAATCTTCTAGAGAAGTAAGTGCTTGGATTGGAGGCGCTCAAAGGGCTCATTTTGATCCAGACATATCATTTTCAGGGTCCCCAAGCAAAAGTACGCCATTAGTGCGTCCAAAAACAAAGTTTACGATCTAACAGAGCGCAAGAAATTCTGTTCCGGACACTGTTTCAAGGCCTCCGAGTATGTGAAGGCCCAGGTGCCCACATCGCCGCTATGGTTGCGGGACAGGGAGACGAGACCCAGCTTTCAGTTGCTGCCAAAAGGTATTTGACTACCCTTACCTAGCACTCAAAGCGTTTTATTTAAGTATTTCATATAATAAGCATTTCTTCATTACATTTACTGGATTTTCGATGAGGGACTATAAGCCCTTGGGGTATAATAATAATAATATTTAAAGCACTAAGATGTTGATCCGCTCTAGATCATGATTATATTGTCGCGCTCTAGCGTGAGCTCAGCCTCGCGTTTGGCATCCTCTTCAGACCACTCGCCGCACTTGCTCAGCACGTCGGTTTCGCGCACGGGTTCATCCTAACAAAGGAAGAATACGACGCAAGGGATGAGAGAAATGAGAATGTTGTACTTTATTTGTTTTTTTTTCTTCATTCAGTGGTTAAGGGAGTCTGCAATACCTCTTTATCGTTGGCAGCCAATTTGGTGAACATGTTGGCATAGAGCTTCTTCTCTTTGTTCTTGCTCTCCTTGATCTTCTGCTTGCAGATGATAACTTGGTTGGCAGCGGCCTTGTTGTTCGGCTCCAATTGGATAACCTTAACAAAGTCGTGATTAAATAAGCGGCTCTTTGTAATAAGTAATTAATTGTTACCTTTTGGAAATCTTCGAGAGCATCATCCAGCTCATTGATGGTCAGGTTGCACTGACCACGACGATAAAGAGCCTTTACATTGTTCTCATCCAGAGCTAGAACCGCGTTGCACTTTAAAAAACATGTGAAGTCAGAATTAGTAAATTAACTTCAGGGTCTGATATCGATGATACCCACCTCCTGCTTGGCTTCAAAGTGATCGTTGGACTTCTGGTGGCACAGCGCAATATTGCTGTGCGTGGCGATCTTGACCTTCTTCACCTCCTCGTTTGTATCGGCATTGGTGGGCAGCAGGCTCTGACATTTGTTGTACATCTTGATGGCCAGAGACCAGTTTTCTTTCTTGAAATAGTTGGTGCCCTTCTCCTTGTATGCCTTGGCCTCTGCCAGGCGTTCCTCGTCGCTCAGCTTCCACTCCTCCAGCTTCTTGCCGCAGTCGATGAGCTTCACAGTATACTCCACGGTAGAGCGTGGTGGGATCTTAAATTCATCATGTCCCTTGTCGCCAAAGGCATACTTTGACTGGATCTTGATTCTAAGAGAAAGAGGAGAATTTGTAAAGATGTTGTTGGGGTGGGTTTCCCTTCTCGCTTGGCAGTCTTACTTGGAGGTCTCGCCTATGTTCATCTTCTCCAGGGCAATCTCGACACCCTCGATAATGCCGATGGCACTGCCCTCACCGTAATCGAACTCTACATCGCGTTCCTCAAACATGCGACCCTCGAAAGTGCCAGAAATATGGGCTGTGTATGCGTATTTAGGAAACCACATAAGATATAGTAAACCGCACAATGGTGTTACGACTTACCCTTGACAAAGGCACCATCGCTGGGTGACCGCTTCTTATCGCTAGCCTCCAGAATGGTGCGATCAATGCTGCCGTCCTGATTGGGACTCAAATCCTCGCCCTTCCAGTTTAGCATTTCCAGCTGCAAATAGGGAAAAGAATATATACTTCAGTTCTGGAGTATTCTTAACAAATCAAAGTTAATCGATGAGAAATGAAATTGAAAATGTTCAGATAATTTTTCATAGTTGTTTTCGGACTCGATAGAACTGCACATACCTCAAAGATCAGAGTAGCGTCTGGCGGAATGGTGGGTGGGCTGCCGGCAGCCCCGTAGGCATAATTCGGGGCACACGTGAGGAAGCAGCGCTCGCCGCGCTTCATGGTGGCCACCCCCATGTCAAAGGCCTTGATCACATTGCCTAAGGAACGGGACACACACAGAGGAAAAAATATAGATTTCGAAGTTTCCAGAAGCCGCAGTTAGTTGCCAATTTGAAGCCATTTTCACTCACCTTTGCCGAGCGGAAATTCGAAGGGCTCGCGGGAAATGCTCGAATCGAACTCGGTGCCGTCCACCAAGCGGCCGGTGTAGTGCAGAGACACCGTGCAGCCAGTGTGCGGCGTCTCCGTGCCCTGACCCTCTTTCAGGATCTCTTTTAGGACGCCGCCATCACCGGATAGGTCAATTTGATTTTCGTTAGGCATTTTTTCCAAAAAAAAATTCGCACGACTTGAGGGCAAGGTGACCGGAAGAAAGATAGTAAAAAAATACCACGCCGGCTTTTTAGTGTGACAATCACGCACCGCCTGCTCAAATACCAAATGTCAAAAGGTAACACTCATATTCGATACAGATATCGATATACCGATATTGAGTGAAGCTTTTTGTAAATCGATTACTTTCTGAAGAGCAAGCGTCTTTTTGGCGATCGCCCGCGCAATTCCTCAAATATCGTTCCGTTGTGGCCTAAGATCAAGATTGTGCAGCGAAAGATGAGTCCCAAGCCGATTCAAAAAGAGCCGCGGTCTAAAAAGCGCCCATTGTCGCAAATGCAGACATGGATCTCCGAGTCGCATGATTTTTCCACTTCCGTAATGAAGGACTTGGTACAGAATCTATATTCGGACACCGACAACCTGACCGACGAGGACCGCAAGTCACTCGTCCACCTTGAGAGGCTGTGGTTAAAGAAGTTCGACGCGGAGGCGCATCACGCGGAACCAAATCAAAGCACACTTACGAATTTAACTCTGGTGGAAAATTTCGTGGACATCAACACGCTGCCAGACAACCAGGTGTTGCGCGCAGCTTGGGGATAACGCGCCTGTGTCCGCACTGGAAACTGACCAACTTCATTGTCTACATTCCGGCATATGTGTTCAAGCAGGACCTTCTCGAAAAGAATATTACTATGGAGATAAAAGACACGACCATGGCGATGGACTCCGAGAGCGGTAGGGTCTTCTTACAGAAGTTCGCGGACGACGTGGTCAAGTACAATCCCCTATAGCTTCCGGTAAAAGGAAATGCTACAAGCTCACGGCTTTTGAAACTTATATAGCTTCTCATGAGCATTCTATATAGCAACTAAATATCATCATATATTACATAAATATATATGATTTATAAAAAAATTCAATTAAAAAATGATTAAATTTAGACTGACTATACATATACACATATGTATAGCCATCCAGCTTATTTATTTTAGGATCAAACAAAACTGCCTGATTTAAAAATGTTTTTTTTTTTTTTATAGGATGCTGTAATGTTTTATATCCATTTTTTTTTAATTGTGAGATTTATAAGTATTGATAATATTCGGTTACCCTCTTAATATTTCCGCATTTCGGTTAATCCGTTTAAAAGCCAATTAATGCAATCAAAGGAAGGCTATTATTGTGCATTCCATTTTGAATGATAGCTCAAACACATATGTATACAGAGACATCTGAATAAATGTAAGCTGCCCCGGCGGCATTTAAATGCTTGTTCAGCTGCCTGCACACAAAAGTGTGTGTTGCATGCATCAAATATAATCCTGTTACCGTTTTTGCTAGGTTTGATTATTTTGCCCTTGGCTTTGGCACTGCCAAGTTCCATTCGAAACGAACAACAATACAAATTAATGCACTTAATTTTATTGGTTTCTATAATTCATGCTCGGTAAGCTGCCCTTCCATAAGCTCCATCCATGTGCACAGTGGGGCAAACGGATATTCTTGGCATATTTTTCAAGGTCAAAAATGATTGGTGGTTTTACTTTAGGGCCTCAATGGAAATAGCCCACTGTGTGCCTCGGCCGGCTTTAATTTCTGGGTGCGTCTTTATAAATCGGTGCAGCTGTCGCCTGTCCTGTCTCCTAGTCACTAAAATATTAGACAGTCATCAACTAAAGCTTCATCCGAGAGTTCGGCTCCTTGAAGCCCCGTGTCTGGCACACTTGTCGCTCATTAATTAGGGTTCGTCAGCGGGGATGACTGCACCGAAAGAAATTGCTTAGTTTAGGAATTAATTGTTTATTCAAGTCATTAGAAACTTATTTTAAATTATTTATAAACTTTACGATTCCATTTTTTTGGTGGTGTGAAGTTATGTAAATCTATGTCAGGAAATTTGATAAAATAATCGAAGCTTTCGATGTTTTTATTCGGAAAATCTACTTCCCAATCATGGATAATGAAACCGACAATCAAAACAATTTAAGAAATTATTTAGATTAATTAATATAAATCAAAGATTTCAAGAAGTTGTATGTTCTTAAGTGGACAATGCCGAATAGTCTCAATTTCACTAAGAACGTTAATTCAGAACTAATGAAAATAGTTATTTTTCTCAGTACTTTTAACCCTTTTTTGGGAATTTCTATAATCCCAAAATATTTCTCATAATTCCCTCAATGTTTTTCTGAGTGCTCTAGGCACTGTGTCCGTTTCGATGTCCATTATTTTTGCAGGTATAGAGACATTGACCATTGGCAGGATTGGCCTGCTGCTTTCTACAGCTGCCCACGCTCACTGTTGCTCGTCACTCGACTGTAAACATTCCAGGCGCAGCTTTCACTCGCTTTGAGTGGGAGTGATGAAAGGCCAGGGAGAACAGGACACATACACACAGACCACGAACACTCACTCGGCGATGGGGGGAAAACTCACTCAAGATGCTCGCGTTCGTTTTGCGCTCGGGTGGAAGCTTCGGTTTCCGCTTTTCCGCTTCGGATTGAGCGATTGTGGATGCTGCGTGGTTCGTCGTGGTCCATGGCCGTGTGAAAAGCTGCGTTGAGCGCATTAAGTCGTTAGGGTACAACCAGACAGGACGCACTTTCTCCGGACGCTGCCGCCATTTGCATTTGCCTGCCTCGGCGTGTGCTGTGTGTACCGTTAAGTCCAGCTGCCTGTGACTGTGACTGTGACTGTGCCTGTGCAGAGAGGGAAATTAGCGGGGAAGCCCCTTGAAATCGAAGTCGAAATCGAATTGTGAACTTAACTGAACCCAAATCCAATCGAGGAGGCGGACAAGTAGGAGCAAGAGTTGTAGATTCAACGGCGCAAACAAAGGAGCGTCGAGTGCGTGCAGAAACTCCTATTTACTTCAAAAAAAAAATCTACTCCTTTGCGGCAGCTCCCGCGCGTATCACAGTGTGTGTGTGTAAGTGTCAGTGCGTGTGTGTGTTCATCAACAACAACAACAACAACCAGAAAATATTAAATTAAATACATATAACAAACAAGCAGCAGCGATAAATACCAGTTAAAAATGGCACTAAACAAAAATTGAATTAAATCGAATGCAATTAAAAATGTTTGCTTAAACGAATCAAGGTAAACACACACAGAAACGAGTAAAACTACAAATAAAAAATAAATTGTTGCTTCCACACCTTTCTCTCTGCTGCCTTTTTCCCACTTTTCCACTGCTTTTCCGTTCGTTTTCCGTTTGCCGTTCACCGTTTTCTGTTTTTCCGCTTGTCGTTTCGTTCGTTTTCCCCCCAACAAAACCAATGCACTCACTCCGTGGTGCAACAGCTTAAAAGTATGCTACGATTTTACCCCACTCAACATCTCGTATAATTGTTGCGCCTGTTCCACATCCTTATGTCCTGCCCGCCACCGATTGGGGAATTGTTTCGTACAATTTCGGTATTTCCAAGAGAAAAACAAAGAAATGTAAACCACAGATTGGGTTTTGTTATTCCAAAAATTTCTGTATGTGTTTTTTCTTCGTTTGTTTGCAGTTTGCTTGTTAAATTTCATTTCGTTTTGTGGCTTGCGGCCACAGGAAAAGGAAATTATTGAATACGGTTAGTGATAAAATGCTGAAATAGGTAAAATTCTTGGCACAAATACATAAAGTTTGGGGCCAAACGAACAAGTGCAGTGTGCAGTGTATTTTGGCCTTATAAACTGTTGCTTCTGACAGTTATCTCGCCACGAATCGAAGCAATTTTCCCAGGCTGGCTGAGGGAAATCCCAGGCGATTTTCCTCGTTTCCCTTAGTTCCACTTGCTTGCACAAAAATTTGTTGCCTGGCTCTTTTCCTTTGCTCTTTTCATTTTTCTTTATATTTTTTTCATTTTGGTTTTCGTTTTTGGTGTTGGTTAACGTAAGCTTTTTTTTGACTGATTGTTTTATTGGAATCCCACTTAAGCGCGATTTTATTGCAATTTCAAAAGCACATTTTTGTGGCTTTTTGTTTGGGGGGGAAATCACCAGCAGCTGCGTTGTTGCTGCGATAATTAAAATTTAATTGTACACAACTTAAATTGCTCATCCATTGTCTCTCGCTCTCTCTCTCTTACTCTGTGTGTGATATAAAATTGCAGCTTTGTGGTTGTTGGATTTTCGGATTTTCCCCCCCTCTTGTTTTCCTCATGCAATTAACATTTGCACTGCTATCAATCAGTTTCGGAGCCGAAAAAAGAAAAAACTTTTCTTTTAGTCATTTCCACTCACATCCTTGCACGTCTCCCCTTAGTCTCCTTATCATTCAATTTGGCGAAAAAGGGAAGAAAACTTTTGCTGCCAAACTAACAACTGCCACACACATACACATACCAAAAAAGGACGAAAAAAAAGAAAAATACAAAAAGCAACCAGAACGCGGCGTGTCTAAGTGGGCGTAAGTGGTCATGTATATGTGCGACTCTCTCTCTGTGTGTGTGTGTGGCTATGTGTCTGTGTGTGTGTGTGTGTGTGTGTGTGTGTGTGTGTCGTGTTGAGTGGCAAGTTGTGTACACACGCAGATTTTTCATCAATCATTTTGCTTGACTACGCCTAGTTCACATTTTAGGGCATGTAGTTTAAAAATTGGGCCGCACAGCCCATCGATAGTTGTTCGAGGCGAAGGATGGTGTGGGGTCCTTGCTTCTTTCCACATCCTTGGTCTCATGTTTCCAACGGAGAAAAAGGCGGTGAAGACTGGCTTTAAGCCTGTTAAAGGTCTTGGCTAAAAGAATCCCACAGGGCGTAAGTTCACAAGAAAAGCTGATTAAGGCTGCTGTCCTATTTAGAGGTATTCAGTCAAATATTATTAAGAGATCTTAGATGTTTTGTTTATTTAAAAATATTATAGAGCCAGGTAAAATCAGTTTTCCATTTTAAAAAGAAATAAGGAAATCAGTAACACATAATTAATATAAGTAACCTTAATCTTTCACATTCAATCATGTATTGAAGATATATATCATTTAATTAGGCCTTATCAATTCAACTAGTTTTGTGCCCCAACAAATGGCACCGAATTTGTCAAGAATCGAGGTAATAACTTACATACATTAGTTAATTA